ATGAAGTTGTTGTGATATTGAGCGATGAAGCGTGACAGATTCGCAAGGTAGGTTCTACCATGTGGAATGACAAAAGTGACGTGTGATAACGTGCCGTGAATGCTGAGGGCGTCTTTGTGACTGACAAGTTCGCCTCTAAGGATTGCGTCAAGCATGCGGTTGACCTTCGCTAAGTACTTGAGTCTCTTCGCTTCTGGGAGTGAGACCGAGCGCGCTAAAAGGTCCCACAGAAACCCTAGGTATGTAAAGAAATATGCAAAATCTGTACATTTTTTCGGGTGCCACGGAATGCCAAGAGGGAGTGTCTTTGCATAGATATCTGCAAGTCTGAAGAGGAAAAGGTAGGGTGTGGTGCTGCCATCCGAGCACACGTATCCCCCACCGACTGGGAAGAAAAAGATAGAGTGGTTGTCGACCCACTTCTTGATTGTGGAGATGTCCATGCAATGGAGGATGTCTACCATCGCATCCGCAATGTTACCTTGAATGCCACCAGTGGTTGTGAGGCCAAAAGGAAAGACGTGATCGATCCAGAACTGACTGTCGAAACCGACAATGAGAAATCTCTTATGTGGAGGCCATACTGGCACTGTATGGTATGCGGCTTTGATGTCCATGGTAGTGGCTTGCATACCAGGAGGGGCTGTGGCTACCTGAAACTAGAATCAACACCGGTGTGCGAAAGAGGCAACACTAGATGCAACACAGGTGTGGTACGCAAATGGCACTGCACGTTGGGACAAGGCACAAAGAGGTGCAAAATGCGAAAGAGGTGTGAGGGGAGCAGAACGCAAAAGAGGCACTGCATGCGAGAAAGCACAAAGGGTGCTGAGCGCGAAAGAGGCACAAATGAGGCACAAAAGGGTGCGTGGCGCGAAAGGGCGCTTGGACATGCACATTTATGTGCTTGAAAGTAGAAGAACTTACTATTTTGGTGACTTGTGCAGCGGTGCCCCACTCAGTAGGAAAGTCTTCTGCATCTAAGTGGTCATTTACTGAGTACCCATCCTCCTTGTTAGGGTAAGACAAGTCGCGGATAATTCTGAACTTGCTGGGCTTGCCGACTTTCTCTACTAAGCCCAAAGGGCAGGATATGAAACAACTGCCGAGTTCGTGTTCCACTTGACTGGCAGAGAACGGACTGGACATGCGATTCAGAGAAACTTCATCCATGAGGTAGTCTCAAATGACTTGCGGGTTATCTATAGCGGACTTGTGGTTGGGTGGGGTGTAAGTGCAAGTGAGAAAGGGCATGTCCCCAATTGGGAACCCGTTGCGAATGTTTGAGATGAGATCTGGGTAGTGAGAAGTGAGGTCAAACTTTGCTAAGTAATGTTCAAAGGCGTCGGCTTTGTAAGGTGTGATGACACAATACAGAGACTCTCTAGCATGAGCAAGTGACGGCTGCGTGAGACTTGCTACCACAGACGGAACAGACGTGAATGATGTTGTCTCCGTGTCTTGCTTTGATACAACGACCAATGTTGTAGGAGATACAGACGATGGCTGATGACAACTTGAGGATGAGTTTCTCTTGCCATTGACAGACGGGCTGCGCATTCTTGATGGTGAGCATGTGAGTACAGTCGCTGGCCTTGTGTCCGTTCTGACCACAGATGAGGCAAAGGGGTCCATCGGAGGAGGCCCCTTTGCCTTTCCGAAAGGACTTGTTCACATCAGCGCTTGAAGAAGTGTTGGTGTTGTCTGTCTTGGGTTTGGCCTGTGGGTAGGGTTGGTACCAATTTGGACCGCTACCACCTGACTTGTAGCGAGCAGCTAGAGCTGTAAGGCGAGCAACTTCTTTGCTAGCGTTGGCTGTGGACTCTTTGGTTTTCATATGAGATACCATCATGAGAGTGTCGTTCCAGCGACGCTTGTATGCAGCTTCTGAGAGGAAGGTTTTCATGTTGAAGAAAGGCGCCTTGTTTCAATGTCAAAGGCTAGAATGGTGTCGAAGTGGTTAGTGAAATGTCTACGCGCAAGACAGAATTGATGGTGCACTGTAAACTTCTGGATAACAGTGGGGCCTGCAATGATATTGAGGAGCTCCAGGAAGTTCTCTGAGGCTTTGTAAAATTTCACCGGGGTAAGGGTAGACTCGGCTGGGAAAGCAGATGTGTCAAGGACAGACTTCTTTAAGTCGCTGAGCACAAGGCCTTTCTTCATGGTAATACACGAGGGATCAGTGTGTATCCTCTCAATGGTGGCAGCCGTCAAAAGTGTAAGCGGCACGTGAAGGCCGGAGTTAGCCAGATTAATGACTACCTGTGGGATTTCATAAATGTTATCGAAGGACAACGCAATCTTTATATGCATGTCCTCGTAAGCTCGTCCTGACGAAGCTGTGGATCCTTGAGCTGCTGGAGCAGCGGAATGTGCTGTTCCTCTGACAATGGCTTGCGCGACGGCCCTAGAAGTCGGAGTAAGAGCATTGAAGTCTCATACTAAGTTGATAAGTGGGGTATTAGTGTTGACTGGGTTAGGGTTGGGCAAGGTTCTTGGCTGCTCTGCCGGCACTTCAAGGGGGTCTTCATCTCTGGAGACTGCATCAGAGGTCATGTGACGTCTATCAGCGCGTTCCTCATTACGCGTTTGACAGCACCTTGTTCTCGCAGTATGACGTCACTACTGCAAGGTAAGAACCTGTCACGCGGCTTTGTCTGCTGGAGTTACCCATAGAATTGGCCAATCTTCCAGTGTTCCCACCTTCACTACCCCCATTAGGGTTAAGGGTTGAGGTATCTTTCCCCCCTACGCCTGCAGGAAGCCTAGAGTTTGATGTGTCGTTAGTCATTGTATGCATCTGAATGATATAACAATATTGAGGGACTAGGACCTGTCAAGCTCTCCACTAAAAGAAAAAGCGACGAGCAAACACGAGGAGAAAAGATAAGGACGCGTTGATGAGACACGGCGTCAAAAGAATGTGTTTGGCTCGCTTAGTAAGCACTTGTTTGAGCCTGTTGTTCGCGAGCTCACGGCAGGCTTCAAACGGCACGCCGCCCAATTTCAACTGGAGGTTCTCGCAGATTTCAACAACGAAAGCCCTGTGGAGGAAAGCAGTCATCGCACGAAATACCGTCTTGCATGATGTCTCAGCCGCGATATCCCTGGCAGGCCTTTTTCCCATAACAACGCGACCATTCTCTTCCATGGTCAATTGGTTGCAAGCCATTACCTTGTGGGGCCTTCGTGTTCTTCTTCATATTCACATTCATAGGTTTCATATTAGCATCCGAGTATCAGCTCTCGTCCTTGCACACACTCCGGGCCGCTCCGGTATAGACAAGTACTCCAGCCGTCTACATTTCAAAATCTGACAGAAAGCTTCTTTTTTCAGCAATGGTTCTACAATACCCGCAAGTTGTGAATCTTGTTGTTGTTGTGTCTTCTAATCGGTTTCACCTATCCAATCACCTGCACGGGAGTGCCAGTGGCTGTAGCTTCGAGCATAGTGGGAATCGTCAGTCCGGTCTGGGCGGGAGACCTCAGTGGCATAGCCAAATTCTCTGCAATTGTCGTGATGGCGGGACTCTTTTGGCTCGCCATGATACACTGCGCTTGTGAGTTATTTGTTTTCCTCAGCATAACACATAGGCTCAGATTCTTGCCTCCTTCAACTCAACCATGCGGTCTACTCTACCCTTATTGCAACTATAGCCTGAAACTGCCGACGCTGCCAACCCCTGTCCCAGTTTTCCTGCTCTTCGAACGCACACTCGCCATCCATTCCAGTCTCACGTCTGCAAACAAGAGGAACTAGAAGCTGTGTAGTGCTCTAGTAGGCCTGGTCTCCTTCCATCTTTTGTTGTCCATGTTGTATGACCGGTGATACTGTGCAATAATAGCATCCGCACATGCGATTCTCCCACAATGCTTGTCAACGTCGACGTTTAAAATATCGCTCAATAGTCACCCCTAGGTTTACATGGCCTTTCGAGTTCTTTCGATTCGACGAGGATGCAAGCGATCACCCCTCACCACCCATACACCATCCCGGTGCCTACCTACACCCCCCTTAACCTGTTTCTACCCTCTTTTCATCACGTAGCGCTGTGTCCTAGTGTGTAGCAATTATTTTTGTGAATGAATTTTATTTGTTTCAAGATATATCGATAGCATTGCGAATCAGGAACAACATTGAAAGGTAAGTGCTCAGGTTTCGACGAATTACGATTACCGCCATTGAGATTCATCGAATTGGCAAAAGAAGAACGTCTAGCCAGCAAAGAAGAGGAGATGCACATTGATTATTCTCGGCAGTAGAAAGGGGGCTGAAGCTGATATATCACACCTTCTGGACCAAAGGCACTGATGTATCATGGGCGGCAGGTTCTAACCAAAGAGCATGATATATCATCCCCCCAGAATATGGTGGGAAGAAAAAGAAATTCGTGCCATCGAGGAAGAGAAACCAGCAGAAGATGTTGATGCCCATCCCATGATGACGCTGATGTTCTGAATCCCTTGATTTCTCAGGGATAGATTTACCCAGTGCAGATGGTCTGGTGGCACAGGATTATGTGGATGCTCCTCAATGTGTTGGACGCCGACGAGCGAGCGAGCGACTTTCGCGTCAGTTTACAACCCCTTGCTATCATTGTGAAACATCACCAAAATTCCTCAACCCAGACATGGCTATACATGGCAATGTCGGACCTACCACATCTGCCACAACTATCTGGTGCAAGCCCTCAATGTCAGACAATGTTAGGAAACTCAACTATGCCATTCCAACTGTCATATGACAATACCTTGGCATTAGGCTAGCATCCCGATATGTCAGACATTGTTCGGTATATCAGGCATTTCAATTTCGCTCAGATTGATCAGACATTGCAACCTCGTTCCGATACAGCAAGGCATTGCATTGAATTAATGATGGTACAAAGAAGTGAGATACAATTGAGTGGATCGTTCCGAGCCTATGTATTTTAGTGATGAAAAAGATCGAGTTGTGAGAGTTTGCTGGTGTTGCGGCCGATCAGCGCTTGCGGCCTTAGGATCCAGCCGTGATGCATCACTGACTCACAAGGCGCCGTCTTTGATTTGTGGAGGTCATGCGCTATAGTCTTACAACATCGCTGTGGGATATATAGTACGATGGAATTACTGCAATGCTGACAGAACTGTCTCAACAACAATGTCTTCCTCAATGTCGCAGGATGTCATCCCACAACTCGACCTCGGGAACACGTTTGGGGCACTTTTTATCGCCGTTATCTTTGCAGCAATGTTAGTCCACCATGTTTTCACTAGTATGCGGACAAACTGAGCGTTCCCTGTAACATCTCACGGAACAGTCTCTTTGGTGTGACAAACGTTCAAGCTCTCATATACTTTCAGACGCACGAAGACACAGGGATGACATTCTATAAGCTGGTCGTACGTCTGTGCTATCTTTTTCTAAGTTCTATTCTTGAATCTATTTCAGGTGATTTTGTTATGGTAGGTATCACTCCGAGTTGCAATTTTGGAGCATGTCGATATCGTGCACTGCACCCTGAATTTTTAGGACACTTGATGCTCTGCACCTAGCCTTGATCATCCATGGTGTCTATTATTATCTAGTGATCAACTACGCAAATGTCGCTGCGCTCTCAGGCCTTGTATGGAGTGCCAAAGTGAGTTCCTACTTTGGCCCTCCGAGTCGCCTCTAGTGCTAGCATATTGATGGGCTCGTTTAGCTTCAGATCCCAGTCGACGTAAGTTGTAATTTCTAAGCTCTTTTAGCCGTTCATGACGTGCAATACACAGACGCTCATGATTTGGGGGGTACATCTGTAAGTTCGATGCGCATAGTATTATGTGCAACATGCACGTAACGTTTTCTTTGTTCGTAGCCTATATGTTCATCGTATATGGATAAGTACTTGTTCCCCTATTAATGCATTTTCTACGACTAATGCGACGAACATAGTCAGCAAGGGCCGATCAAGAGCTCTCCCTATAACAGTGGTGGGTTTACAATTGATACTTACGTATTATGCCATTTAATTCCATCGATCCACCATTGTGTAGGGCATAATTGTGGTCTTAGGTTCAGGTGAGTCTGTCACCGAGAAATTCTCCTCACTCGATCTTGAAAGCGTCTTCAGGTGTTGCCATCAGTGAGCGTTCGATGGCACTATTATGATATATTGGGTCATCCTAACCTAATGATGATAGGTCTTAATTGGGCAACGTAAGTGAAACAGTGAACTAACTCCACGAAGTGCTGATAGGGAGTAGATATCGGTGCCGCACGTTCGAAGATTTATTGAAAACTTTCGAGTGGGCGAACTACTCGACATTGGGTACACTGAGCTTTCTCGATATTCTTATCGCATCATCGCTATGCTATCTCCTCATCACCTCTCGTACTGGGTCCTCTAGGTGAGAAGCGGTCCTTTCTCTGTCGGGATCTGATATAGAAACGTGGAGTACTTAGTACCGATTCCTTCCTAACAAAGCTCATGAGTTACATTATTACTACCGGCTGTCTGACAAGGTAGTCTTCCTCCACCTACTTCATACCTTGACTTACATTTAGTACAGTATATTTTCATTGACAGTTATCATCACAGTGAAGTTCTAATTTTTGTATTGTCTGTCTCGTCTCTGATGGTCTTCCACAGTGTGCAGCGATGCCGAAGAACTTCATCTACCTCGGTGTTGAATTTTCACTAGCGAAAGGTATGACTAAATTATTCTCTCAAGATGGTGCTAATAATCGGTACCCTTTCCAGTATACGTTAACTCGTACATTGCACTCCTGAACGCACAATACTACACACAGTCCAACGCAGACAATCTTGTTCTTTCCGAATTCTGCGCCGCAAGGCGAGAACTTCCCCACACCCCGGAAGAATGCATATAAACATGCAGGCGATGAAGTGGCGCATCCTGCTCAATCTGCCAAGGTTGGTAGTTGTGTTACTGTTAATAGAAGTGGGCTAAATGATACGCTTTATCACAGTGGTCGAGGAAGGTAACGATGGAGATATATTCTTTCTCGTCAGTGTGATGGATCGGTGTGCATGAATTTTGTCTGCCTGTATCACGAAATAAGACTCGCAGATAACTTATGTGTTTCAATGTCTTCAATGTTGCTTTAACGTGTTATCTATTTGCTGGCAACCGTCGATTTGTTTTCAAACAGTTCGGCGCGATGGGGAGGTGACAACAGTCGTTTCTTCTAATCGAGGTGCTGCACACACTTGTGAATCTCGTTCATTTCATCGAATTCTGTCAGGTCCTTTCTGCTTGACCCCGACATGCGGTGTTCAGCCAACTAGAGAAGATGAAACCCCTGCAGCTAAATATCCCGCAAGCGATTCCAGTGGGTCACGGTAATGTGTAATGCGAGGATGGCTAAATGGGTCCTAGGGTACAAGGAACTGTACATCATGAAGGCATCTGATGGGCGGAGAGACGAGGCACATGGGTACTTACCTCCTCCCTAGCTCTGTTCTCTCTATACCTGCTTTCATGCCTCTCTTCATCTATCTTCCTGTGAAGATGCTTCAAGGTACCATATGCTTGAATTTCCAGTCGCGAGGTGGAGTTCCTGGCAGAAGAAACCAATGGGACCTGTCTGGAATGGCAAGGTCACTAACACCTGGTGGCTCATTCAATCCATAGGAAGTCGTGTATTCTATAGTCCTATGACATGTATAGTGGAATGATTTACATAATAAGAACCCACAAGGTCCTATCTCGCTACAAGACGGTCAGGCAACAATATACGCATACTCATCTATCGCACAGATGAGAAAGAATCCATCTCCACCGTCACCTAGTAGTTCGGCCACTGTGGCTAAAGCGTGTCATTCAGTGACTTCTCCTGTTAGAGTGGCTTTGTCACCCAAACTGCGCATTTGGATACAGTAATCCAGTGACAAGCAAATTATGAGTAAATCAAGGTCGAGTATCAATGCCAAAGCCCGCTCCATCGGTTCCCCGCCTGTGTGTGCGTAGATCCAATACTAGTAAACGCCCACGTACCCGAAGACCTAGAACCAGGTCGCAATCCCACTCCCACAAGCAAAGACTGTCTCGATCTCCCGCCCGGATGCACGCCCACGTTAACGTGCAGGACGCGCTTCATGAGGCTCCTTCACGCGACCACTCACACCAAAACGTTTCGGCGGCTCTGGTTCGCCATGCGGTGCGTATGAGAGCGCGCTGAAGTCAGGAAAACTGTCGTGCGAGCTCGAGCTGTATTTGCCATTTGGGGTGCTGGCTTTGAAGGAGGCGGGAGAATGTTTCTTCGCGGATGAGTATGGGGATGGCAGGATTTGGGTGAAGGATGGAGGTGGAAGGGCAGTGATAGCGGGTGTAGCGGGGAGGATTGGGGACAAGATGTCTGGAGGAGTTTTGGGAGGAGAAGCGGGTCCACGCGTGGGTGTTGTTGGATTTGAGAGGCCCATGTTGACGATAGACCACTGGTCACTAAAGCAAGATGAACGAGTGAGTGCAAGTATGTTTTAAATACATACGGTCGTTCGAACCAGCCAGTCTTCTTGAGTTCAGCACGAGCAAGATTGTTGAGTCTGTCAAGCGGACTGCTGTTGAAAAAAAGCTACTAAACGTTGGTTAAATGAATGAGAGGCCGGCCAAGTTGCACAAACCATCTTTGTCATTTCGTCAGTCGATAATTCATCCTATTGAAACGTGTTAGGTGTGATCTATGTTGAGATAGATAAGGGAAATACCATGGCAACTGTATCATCGCAGGTATAGAACGCATCGTCGTACGAGGTGACTCTAGTGGTGCTCTTGATTGTCTCGGACGATGCGCACGAACGGTTTCCGATAGTCGATATATCGGCGAGTTCGTCATCGTCATAGATGTAGCTTACGTCGAAGAAAGAGGGCTCGCGACGGGCATAGCTGGCGTGTTGGACTTGACTTTCTTGGCTGGAATGGCTCTGATAGGCAGGTAGAACATCAGCCCCGGCGCGCATGGTGAGGCTACATAGTACGTACCGTCTGGGGCCGATGTATCTTGATGGTATTCACGCGGAAGTCTTTGCGTGACTCGCGGGAGGAAGGATTGTCGAAAGCATCAGCAACTCTACCAAGCAGCTCGAACGCGTCTTCAGTGGCAGTCATGGGTATCGTCGCTCCGGGAGTTCAGGACAAGAGGAGCGGTAGGGTACTTATGTACTAGTGAATGGTCAGTCAGCCTCACCCATGTTGGTTCCGCAAGTCAGCCGCCGAGTAGTACTAGGCTGACATCTGACATCCATAGACATCATTAAGTCTGCAACAAATAGTTTCTTTGATTGTCGTGAGCTGAATTTCGTGAGTTCATCATAGGGGAATTTAATTAGGTTCAAGTTAGAAGAGCGAAGTAAGACTAACCAACAGAAAGTCCAAGACTTGACTATCATAGACTCCCCAGCCATAAGCTTAAGTAGACACTTTTAGGAGTACTGCAAGCATGCACATATACATAGACCGCGGCGGGATACACGTGTATTGCATGCTCGCAGTAGCTACTCGCAGTTGGCTCACAGAGTACTTACTTGCAGACAAACCTCGGCGGGGGTCATGAAATTCGAACTCCACTCCAACACACCGCAGGTTGCCCTATATGTAACTTCAACCAATTGCTCCAAACGACTAGATCGCCTTGATTGCCATCAAAACTATGTCCAACGATTCCCTTGATCGCAAACGCTTCTACTACTAGCCAAATTGGTTCATTTATGTTGCCAACGCCCTGTGGGTTTCATTTCTTCTTCTTTTCGCTTACTGGTATGCTTCACTCGTTGCAGCGGCTGTGAATACCATCACGAAGGATTTTAGCATCCCGATTGTCTATGCTGATAATTTTCGCCTAGCCCATGATCTTGTGTCTGAATCCGCACGATGCTGCCACCTGGTCGATGACAGTCTGTTTGAAATTTTCATCAACCAGGTGGTAGTATCGAAGTAAACCATCGCATTTCCAGCTTAGTGAACATGGTCTCTTTTTAAAGTGCTGGACGGCTCCTGGCATGTCTGCTGGTCGAAGAACGAGGCCGAGCCCACATACTCAATAGACGATTCCCAATTCCTCAAAACATTGCACGCAGTGACCTCATGAAGCTATCATTATGCGACAGCTTGGTGTCTTTCCACAGAGTATATTCTTCATCTGTAAAGCAGACAAAGCTGCACAGCACTGTCAGTTGCCCTCAATAATACATCTCCTTGCACGGTAGAAATAGACAACATCTCTCAGTCCCGCTCGCACGGTCTCACGACTCGCCTCCGGGGTTTGGTTGTCGAATATGTAGCGCAGCCAGATTTTAAGAAGAGGTTCGTGCTATGGAGGTCGTTCGCTGCAGAACATCGATACCCATTCCGCGCGTTTTTTTCCCGAGGAGGTCTCCCCTGACCGCCCCCGACAGCACTGCCCAACTCGTTGACGGGTGTTGCATGTCCTGTTGATGTTTTGTACACCAACGTGTACAGACGAGCTGCTCTCTCCGTTTCCGACATGTGCGTCGTTTTCTACGTGACGACATGCCGCTCTCCTAATTCCGAACCATCATGTATCATGGTTGACAATTCGTCATAGCCACGATTGTAGATATCCGGGATATTTGCAGCCTTTCAAGTGAACTATCGTCCAGGCTGTACGATTCCCAATTGGCGCTATGTTGTCCAGTCCGTCTTTCCAGGGCATCCACGCTAGGCGGTGATCAACGCATTTCCATCGGTTGACAACAATCGTCTGACAAACACTTCTGTAGTGTCAGTTTTGTCGACCGAAAGCGAGTTTGGACAGCGACGTCAAATAGACGATGCGGAGGGCATGAATGTGTTTTTCAAGGAGGGAGCCTTGGTGACAGACTCGGAGACATGTGCTGACTCATTTCCGTCGCCGACACTCTTTTCCACTTCTCGCTGGCTGTTATGGCCACTGTCGCCCTTGGACATGGGTGGCTCTCAGGACACGCGGGGCAGGTAGAACGTCCGCGTCAGCCCCGGCGTGCATGGTGAGACTAGTACATACTGTCTGGGGCCTATGGATCTGTATTGTATTTGTCAAGAGGCGTGTTGGTTAATTACTGGCACCAGCCATGTATGATTACACCTGTGGACTGAGAAGAGCAGAGCAAAGACATAACACGGCGCTCCTGCGCGTTTTCTCTCACATTGTTGAACTCCAAGGCCCATGTTTCTCGAGCGGTTGGGTTGGAACCACCATTGTGGATGACCTCCTGAGAGCAAGCTTCAATGATTGTTTTGAATTCCACTACTGCTTTCAAATGTAATCCAAGTTCCACTGACATAGTAGTACACAAAGGCATATTCTGTTCAGGCTCCTACTCCGCATTGAACGGCGGAAGTACCTGCTTCCTCTTGATGGGCCAAATCTCCTCCATCGTCCCTGCATCCCATACCCGCCCACCACGCATCACATACCTGATATTCCGCGTGTGGCGGATATCGTCTTGCAACAGGTCAAAACCGGGCGGGAAAATGATGAGGTCTGCAAGTTTACCCGTCGAGATGGACCCGAGGCTGTCGAATAGGCCGAAAGTGATTGCGGCATCAGCGGTGGCTGCGCGAATTACCTACACCGAGTTCAGATTGGATCAGGCTCAACAAATGAATGTGGTGAGGAGACGGACCTCGTAATTGCTCAGCCCGCCTGATTTGGCGTAGAACATCTCCTGGTGGTACATGAGTCCAAGAGGCGGCTCGCCATGCGCTCCGATATGGGCGCGCAGTCCTCGGTGCACCATATTCGCAACAGATGCAGAAACATTCCATAGCGCCATCGCTGAACGAAAAAAGTTAACAGGCACCACGCGTTCATCCACATGAGTCCTTACAATTGAACGGCCGGCTTGTACTCTCCGAGAGCCCTTCGAGAATGTCGTGCCGTGTGTGCGTGCGGAGTCTGGATGTGATAATGAGTTACTTAGGGCATATAGCCAAAGGTTTTAGCAGAAACATACTTGGGGTCGTTCGGGATGTCCTCAGTTGCCCAGAGATATTCCTCCCCGGACATGCCCCCATAATCGACGACATGTGTCGGAGTAGATCCAGTCCCGCTCATCGTGTAGAGTGTGAGGATATCGTCATATAGCGTCGACACAGGAATATTGTGCTCGATCGTGGTCATCCCTAGTTTAATCAACAACCATTGGAGGCTCGGAGTCGGGCACTTACCATCCACAATATATGTCAAATCCCAATCATAGTTCATCCCCTATGTCCACAAGTCACTCAACACAGAAACCATACAATAGAAGTGCACTTACGCCTTCAGGTACACACAACATCCCAAGCTCACGCGAAGCTGTCAATAACCGTTGCCTGGCAGCCCTCGTCGGCAAATTGTAGTTCTTATAGCTCCAACTTGCATCTCCGGCCTCAGCCTTGATCCTTACGAGTGCTTCACGTGCCTCGCGCATGCTTGCAATGTCTTGATGGATGCTGTAGTCGGATGCGCCATATATGACCGTGCCGGTATGGAAGAGCCGCGGGCCAGCCATGAGTCCAGACTCGATACGTCCGCGCTCGACGTAGCCGAGGGAGTTATGTAGACTTGGGCTGCAGGTTCGGGATTGAAGTGGTGAATGGATATGCGGAGGAGAACGCACGCACTTGTGTAGTGTAGTCACGCCATACGCAAGGAATGTCTGCATCTCCCAGGACGTCGCTGGGTACTTGTCTTCTGTGCCACTCCAGTGCGCGTGTGCGTCGATGAAACCAGGGACGACGTACCCTACGCATCATGCAATGTCAGCTCTGCTATTTCAAAAAAGCTAGATGAAACCACAGACCGCCCTCAGCGTTGATTATGAACGCCCCCACCAGTTCTTCACCGACATCAGGGCCACCAACAGCCTCCACCACTCCGCTCCGAATCACAACGCTCGCGCCTGGCCTCAAGTCCTGCGTGAGCACGCCGTTTTCCATGCTCAGGACTGTTGCATTTTGGATGATTACCACGTCAGCGTTGCTCCATGCTGCATGTCCTTGCATTGATCCCTGTGCCCCGTCCGCCATTGACTGGCGCGCCTCGCTGGACAACCTTTGAACATCAGGAGTATAAGCGACATCCACTGCTGTGACATCCAGCAAGTCCCGGACGCAGTCGATCCCAAAGGTAGATGCGTCAGCTCCGATTGCGTCCTCGCATGAGGGAAGGCGGGAGAGTGGGAGGGTGTGGAGGTATGGACCTAATTCATGTAGCGATTACTAGGTCAGAATGGAAATTGAAATATGACGAATTCGGGGAGACGTAAAATTGTATGAGAATGAACGCACCGAGGAACCACCCGATCACACTTCCGTCCCCGCTAAATACGACATCATGCCCACCGTCCCCACTCAAACGCGCCAAGTCCTTCGGTGCCTTCCCCGGCTTAGCCCACATCTCATTTTCAGGGTTCACTGAGGAAGGTAGGGCGTAATATACGTGATAGAGGCTGACAAATGCTGCACCCCCTACCGCTCGGTTGCGTCCAGCTCGTCTTGAGGATTTTGAGGGCACGGATCCGGATGGGGAGAAAATAAGCTCATCTGTTCCCTTCCCCTGGGCAACCACCTGCTCAGCACCGTCATGCAAGGAAAGCCGAAGTACGCGGTCAGATTGCTGCACGAGCGCTTCACTAGCCTCGCCTTCCACGAATGATAACTTGACGACATCGGAGGGGTCGATACTACTTGGGACATGACGCAGGTTGTTCAATGTCACCGTGTCTGTGGAGAGAGATAGGGATGGGAGCGCGATCTTCCCGACCCAGACTCCCGTTTGTGCAGTGGCCACCACGTTTCCGGTCAACACATCCCCACCCGTCTTCACCAGCACCATTGTTCGCACGCCGTTTTCCGCAGCTCCACTTACAACAGCACCAAACCACCGCCCCTTTGGGAGTCCGACGATTTCCCAAACCTGCCCGCTCTCCAGATCTGACAGCTCAAGGGACGAGAAATGCAAGTTGTCCCAGCGTGCGTGCAAGGCGAAGGAGGAAGCAGGAATGAAGGAAGGTGAGTAGTAGCCTGCAGAGGGATGCAGGTGAGGAATACCCCGGGGAGGCTTTGTACCCAGGAAATTCGCATCATCGATGGGGTCTAACGTAGCGGGGTTGATGAGCGATCCTTGAAGCATCTTCACCCACGTCTGTCCCGCGCTTGCAAATACCGCACGGTTGCCAGTTTCATCCAATGCAAGCTGGGTAAATGCACGTATGCGCTGCGGGCCTGATTCAAACTTGCGCACATCAGTCTTCACACGCCGCGTTTCTGCAAGCTTCTTCGAGATGTGTGCTGTGAACGGGATCACCTTTGGCGTGAGGTCTGCATTGTTGGTGGCTTTAGTCGCGGCAACAAGTTCCCCCTCTCCATTGCGCGCCAATGGGACATGCCAGATTTTCCCGGCAGCCCAGATAACAATGCCCGGCGAGAACGAAGAGGGCGTAAATGCGAAGGATGGGTAAGTACCCGTCGGTGCGTAGATTGTCGAGAGGTCGTAGGTGAGGCCGTGCCATATATGGTGTAGGGTGCCCGTGTTGAGATCCCTGTTGAAGTAACGGTAGTTGAGCCAGCCAAGTAAACGTTAAATGCAAGATTAAGAGCATTAGAGAGCATAGATAAACTAAACACTCAAGAAAAGTAAAAGTAAATGCTACTCACTTGAGGACGAGTGCTTCTTTGTCCCTCACACGGCGCACAAACGCAAGGGTGCCTCCATCACGCGAGAGTGTAGGCCGGCTAGCACCACCAGGGAATGCGTCAACGAGCGTCTCCTCCACGCCCGTTGTTAAGTTGCGCCGGAAGATTGAGTAGATACCCTGATGGACGTCTGCAGATACATGAGCCAGAAGCACATAGAGCATCGATAAAATGCTAACGCACCTTTGGAATACGTGTAACTCCCATCCACATCTCTCACATTACCAGCATAAATAAGCACATCGTTGCCCGCCCATATGAACTGTTCATGTCCAATCTGCTGCTCTACATAATCTGCCTTTTTCCACCCCATAGGCAGGCTCTTTGATACCAAACGCTTGCCAGCGCCTGCCTCAACCTGCGACTTGGTGTTGATGGGAGGAACGGGGAACTCCCATCCTTCGCCAGCCCCGAGTGAGCGTGAAGAATAGTACCATTTTGTTGCGACGACCTTATCCCCTGCAGGATGCCAGCGCGGGTCAGACACCCAGTTGTACGTCTCATTCGTGATACGTTGCGCTATACTTTTATGAGCATCCCACCTGGATTCGAGACACAACTTTATCACTCACCGTCTACCCTCCCCTCCCTTGTCGATCTCAGTTTCCTCTCACTGGTCTCCTTGATACCCCCTGCAAGCAGCTCCTCGTCCTGGATCTTCAACTCGAGCTCGTGTGATGAATTAACATGCGCGCGGACGTCCATGGCCGTGCACCCTTCAGTTGCCCAGGGCATCACCCACAGATTATCAGCGCCTAGCCCCGCGTCGCTCTGGAATGCAAGTCTGTCACCTTCAGGCGAGAACCGAGGATTCGCATCATGCGGGACACCTGTGAGCACTGGCACTGCTTCTGTCCTTCCTCCTACTTTTCCAGCAGCCCCCAAATATGCGTCAGCCGGCAGGCAGTATAGATCCCCTGCCATGTCAAACACGATATCCCCATTGATAGGATGCACGTCGAGTCGCAGCCATGTTCCTTCTGTCACCTCGTAAGATAACGTGCGCGGGTAGGGGAAGTCCACAGAAATGTCCCAAGGCTCATGTGCACGCAGAGGGAAGTCATCATCTGCGAACTCGGATGCGGGGTCATCCTGCAAGGCTCCAGAATACTTCGACGGGAGTGGTTGAGCAGCAGGGCCGGGGAGGGCGAAACGATAAACCCATGATGCAAGGCAGAGACATGTAGCTAGTTTCAGAACTGCTAGTAGTAACCGGCGAGTCTTCGCTTGTTCCCCATATCTATAGTTATACGCCGGGACTTTATTGGTAGTTGAAGTTGGCAATGGATTGAATCCACCTTTCTCCGAGTACGAGGTACATTGCATGTCAACAAGCTTATAAGGCGCACAGCGCTTATGCCACTCCTTTGATAGTCCTTTTGTGCCGCATTCGGGTTGGCAGATTGCACTGAGTCAAATACCACCGGGCTCGCTAAAGATGTGAGAACTTCAAAATATCAAGCGGACTTCGAAACTGTTCTTCTCCTCAACTACCTCGAAGGCCACGAATGCTCGTCACGTACAGGTTGCTTCACGCATCCAAATTTCCGAGCGGGTTAAGGTCTGCGTATTCCGATCACCCTCTACCAGAGCCCATCTGGAATGAGCTGCGCGACATTCCAGAAAAGCAACTTCATCTATGTCCCAAAGATTCTGTTACAGCAGAGGAGGGCGAGGATGAGAATCGTCGTACGCGGGGATCTGGCGAACCTGTTTCTGTTGTTTAGCAATCAGTCGTCACTATCGCGCATGCGCCTGTCAAGAAGGCGCTCAGGATTGCTAGGTACATGATGAGCACTTGCTTCGTGTGGTGGCCTGTTAGTATGCAGGTCATTGGCAACACCTCTCTTGGCGAGCACAAGTGCGCGTACTACATTGGTAGCCTGCCTAAAGTTTGGGGGTCAGCACAAGTGCTCGCCTGCCAGAGTAATCATGAACTGCCACTAAAGCTTGTAGAGGACCACCTCCTTGCATATGAGGGGCAGGAGGCCAACCGCCTTTTTGCGTATGAGGTACGACTGATCGCATCATTATGCAACAGTATTGGTTTGTCCTTCAGTTCACTTTGTGGCTCGCGTATCCTTCGTAGATCGTGAAACTCAATGCAGACTACTCTCGGACTAGTTCTTTTGAATTTTTTCCTTATTGAACTCCTTCGTGGAGTGTTATCTTCAACCAGGTTCAGATCGTTTGTTATTATCAGACTGCGGACGTCGGGCTCTGATTAGCATTAGGTTGTGATAGACAATATTGATGTAATACATTTGTAGTTCTCGGGGCGCTCCTTTGAATTCAAGAACTTGTTTGATGGGGGAAGTGGTACACCATTACATTTTTACACGATTGCTACTTCAACAATGTCCACTACATTCTCTGGAAACAAAGCATTCCCCTCCCGCAGTTGTCTAAAAATCCCCACCCGTGCCCATTCCTCTCCTTTCGGCGTCACCACCAATCCAATATCAAATGCCTCACTCCCTCCGAGGTACTCCGGCAGCCTTGCAACTAATAAACACCACATCTCCTTCTCCACGTCGTCCGTCGTCAGTATCACATCTGGATCCCAATCCACCTCTTCCCACGTCGGTGCTGGTGTTTCGATCCCCGAATTCAACCTCCACTCAGTTGTACACTTCACCCTCCGCATCATTGCCTTGATCCGAACATATCCCCGTTCACCAAGTGACCCAACATCGATGACCTCTGCTGTCCACCTCCTCTGTTCTCCAGCCCCAATCGCTGCCATCACTCTTCCCTCAACCCCCATCCATGACCATGTTGGCGCCAAATACTCATCTGTCTCCGGTCTACCCCACGTCGGCTCCTCCACAAACCACAGCATATCAATCAACAACCACTCCCTCCACAAGCCCCACACATTTTCCCACCCCGTCAGCATCTCAATCCGCTTTATCACGCCCGATATTGCCACCAACCTGTCGTCAAACCGCGTCAGGTGACACTGCGTGTACGAGATCTGGATGTCCATCCAAGCGCCGTATTTCTCCTCGTCCGTTTGCTGTTGTATACCGAAGAAGGATGCCTTGGGGGAAAACCTGCTCACCTCCCCACCTGGCATAGCTTCCGTGGCTGAACACTCTGTACATTCCCATGCGAGCCCCGTAAAGCCATAGTACAGCGTCCTTGGGGCAAGGATCCGCTCCTGGACGACCCATGCACGGGTGTGAAGCGGGAGGGGCGACAACCCCATCCGCAGATCGACGCCAACATTGGAGTTGGCTTCAACGTACCAACGGTCTAGGACTCGGCATGGGCGGAAGAACAGTGGGTTCCGGGCATGGTCAAAGAAGCAGCCCTCATGGGAGTTGCGTGCGGTGAGGGCAGCAATGGTGCAAGTGGAATTGGCATAGATTTCACCCATGATTGCAGACTCGGAGCGCCAGTCGGAGGGGGAATTTTGGATGATACAGAGGGAATCGATCCAGAGGTATTGATATCTGACATCCCCTCGTTAGAATCACAGCCCCGGGCCAAGAGGAATAAGTTACACACCCTAATCGTCGAGTGATAACAATTGCATCCTGAAACGTTTTCGGTAGGGTAGAGGGTGGGATTCCGACCTTCAGACTATCGATGTTCTCTTTAAGAAGCCGAAGAATCTCAGCCCCGCCCCAGCAGTGACTGAGCGTCAAGTACTCCAGCCTTGTCTCGCCCAGTTCCTGACTGATTACAACCCTGGGTTCCACCCCATCATCACACCCGACATCAATGAGCCGACTGGGACCGTTCGTTGTCCGTGCTGCCCTGACTGTCTCCATGCATTTATGATGTTTCTGCAGACATTGTTGTAGCCACTCCCGGGCCAAATTGAATGACGCTTCCGAAGCCAACGATTTTGCAGTTCGTGCGTTTTCGTAGCTGCTCTGACTCGGAAACGTGAATTTTCCAGTGGCAGACGTGCATGTGGTGGGAGTCTCCACATCATCGACTGGGACAATGACGAGATAACCCATCCTCTGGCTACCAGTTTCCCCCGCCTGGATCAACAGCGTCATCCCACCTGAACGCGAAACTTGAAGGGTGACAGTGATGGGCCCAGTTGCAGGCTGCTGCTGCTGCCGTATTTTTCCAAGAATCAAAGAACAAAGGTGGCATCCTCCAGCAGAAGACGACGCTTCGAGTGTCTCGCAATCGGGATAGCGACGGAAGTCTTCTGAACCCCGAGATGGGTTATGGAAGAGGTGGGAGGTGTCGATGGACTTCTGGCACGTGGGGCACAGGGTGTGTTCTGTTGCTACTGAGTTGATGGCCTCGTCGGTGGCATTCACGAGTTTTCCTTGCAGAGATTTTGGCTGAGGGTCGAGCGATTCCGTCCCGTCGACCTGCTAAGCAAGCAAGTTCGCCGATGGAGTGTACCAAACGTTGGATATACACATACCTGACTTGGTCTGCTGAAGGTATTAGGCATGGGCGAAGGAATCGGAGATCGTCCAGCACTTCGAGTGAAACGTTCTTTGATTGCCTTGACAAACTTGCGAACCCGATCGAGCAATTTGGATAACGCCCACGAGGATGGGCGAGGGTACTGCTGCAACAATGACATTCCAGTAATCTTTGAACATTCCATTGGAAGGGCAACAGTCATACCTCGAGTGCAATGTCCCCTTGCCTGCTTTCCTCTCCAGGCAGATGCAGATCTGACTGACTTTGCTTCCGCCAACAGTGTTTCTTACGCCGTGGAGTGGATTCGTTCATCGAGTGGGATTAAAAGGGCGTCTGGCAGGTCTGGGATACGAGGAATTGCCGGGATGCAAAAACGACGAGGAGTTGAGGTGAGTGGTGGACGATGCGCCGTGCAATAGCCTCGTGGCGTGTGCGAAGACTTTTGATATGAACATGAGTTTACAAGCGCCTATTATCGGAAATGCCAACCAACCTTACGGATAGGGAAAGGTTCTCCTTGAAGCATTTGCTCCGAGTAATCGAGCTTGTGTGTCACCGAGTGCACTACTCATTGCAGTAATCACAGTGGCGCCCTTAGGCTTAGGCTGACCACCGCATGGTCCAGAATCTGAGTATGATTTGCGGGGTAGGATCGATCGAAAGGATATCATACGAAACAGCCGCCGATCTTCAGCTTGAGCCTTGGCAAGATCGTCCTATTACATCAGTTTTCCGCTGGGTTAAAATATGAAACTAAGCTAATACTAACCTGCATCATGATATTCTTTGCGTCGTTTTTCGTCGGCTGGTTCATCACACAGCATCGCACTCCAACCCGGCATATTTTCTCCTTGGAGCAGCTGCCAAAGAAAGGGGCGTGCCTTTCACATTCTAAGCCAGTCTTTAGGTCATGGCATCAACATGTTTTGAGCATCCGCAGCAAGCTTGTGCTCAATGACTCGGACAAGGTGTCCCTTCGAAGTTCAAACGACTGCCCTCTAAGCAAGGTAGTTTAACGCTCGCATGGCTCACTGCTATGAAAGACTTGATCTGCCTCACCCCGGGCCTGGCTGATCACTGCAAAGAAGAAGAAAAATCAAAAAATCCAGATTAATCGGATATGTCAGAACCAACTGGCAGGAGGATGCCCTGAGCAAGGTTCGAACTTGCGACCTCAGGATTGCCCGGCAATGATACCGGTCATACAGCTGTATGAGACCTGCGCTCTAACCAACTGAGCCATCAGGGCGTTCCTGTGATGGATGTTGTTACGCAACCTGAAGGTGTGGGCTTTCCTAGCACGTGATGACAACGCGTTGGGCGCGTGACGTCACGTGTAAAGTGTCACCTCGTCTCGTCCTCCAACCATGCGTGTCCTTGCACCCTCAAGCTCAAGCTCTGACTGCAAGTTAGAAAAGCACGTACCTCCTAAAGAAATAGAAGACATCTATACGAACATACAGCCTGCCCCAATGCTTGTGCCTACTACGAAGATCCCATGCATCACACTCGACGCCGACCTTGTGACAGACTCTATGGCCGCCAGATTGTGCATTAGCTTGATCGGCCACGTTCTATTTTTAAAGAGTCAAGTTCCTTTGTAAGTTCTAGCGTTTCGAATCAAATCGTCTGCTCATGGTTGTATAGCCCGGTCATGCAGATGGTACGCATGCCCAGTGGTGATGTACGTGCCCTGCCAATTTATCTGACTGTAGCGCTGACGCCACGAAGACCACTTCTCGAGCTGCAAAGAAGCGTCAGGAGCTCCTCAATTCATTCGATACCCTCGCGTCACACCTCAATACGACATTCACAGCACTCTCTACAGCGTTTGCCCTCCGCAGCGGAACACCGAGAAAAGATGCTCAAAACTCTGGTCGTGCCTACCTTGCAGTCGTTCTTGGTCCCACACCTGGATCCGCCAAATGCAGGGTGATGGTGGGTGTTGATGCTTTGGAGGCAAAGGTCTGGGGAGAACGAGACGATTGCTCAGGTATCCCATCTGAACATGGTATGGGAGAGGGCGCAGAGGATGCCGGAAGTGATGGCGAAGACGAGTCTAACTCGGACAACGACAGTGATGGCGAAGCCGACTCAAACGAAAGCAGTGACAGCGACAGTAGTGATGATTCGGGCGATGAAGAAGTCGAGTCGGAAACGGAATCCAATGAATCCTCTCAAGCGCCCTCCCCACCACCATCTAGGACACCTTCTCCCTCTCCTTCTACGCCTCCTCCACCACAACCGCTGCCTCACAGTTATGCCCAAGAACTCGAAGCCCTCCGCGCTGCCGAACGCCTGCTCTCACGCACCCTCGCAAGCGCGTGCGGAGAAAATGATGGACAGGGCATGGCCAGCGAGATGCGTAAGTAGTACCCAACCTTTTACCTCCGTTTTTATCAGTTCCTTTATATTCTGACGTTGTTCTGGACGCATAGCTCCAACTCAGACACACATAGTCCTGCGTGCTCCGCGAAGATTCATGCACCCAGCATGGGTACCCAGGCAACCCCTCAGCAGTGCTTTTGACGCGTTGCTCGATGCATTTCTCGAGGAATCTGGTGAACGTCCGACAAGGGATGATATCAAGAAGAAAAAGAAGGGAGGAAAGGTGGAAGGAGTATGGATTCGCAGTCGACAGGGGACGACTGAAAACTCGGAAATAATAACGGGTGAAGAAACTCCAGAAGAAGACGAGATGATTTGGTGGACATGGGACGGGAAACTTGTTGGATTTGCGGACTGGTGACATCACAAAATAATTTCAGACGACTTGAACACGCCAGTTTGAGACGTCGGGTACATGGCCTGCAGGATATCTGTGGATGAATTGTACTGCCATGCTGCGTGCCAAAACTTCATCAGTGCTTTAAAACAATGAACCTAGTGAAACGCTCAGAACCAGTGTGCAAGATCTATGCAAGATCTTAATCATGCTAAATGATATCACTTCGAGGGATTTCGGTTGATTGTCAATGTTTACTGTCTACAATTCGATCGCGAACGAGGAACCCGCGGGGTCCATCAGATCTCTGACTGCATTCTCCTCGCGTTGCAGTATGTTTAATTAAATTTTCACTAGGCTGAGGACGAACGGAGTTAGTTAGCATTGACAGACGTGCCCGTTGTCTGTATCAGATCTATCCCTTGGTCCTTTGGATCTTTCTTGTAGCTGCGTTCTACATGATATTACATAACTCCACCAACATTGCATGCAATGAATTGACATTGTAATTCGTCGTTCTACACATAAATCGCTGTTCACTGTCGCTCAACTGCTCCGGTCGGAGGTCATTAAACATCCAAAAGTCCTGGACGGATATGGGAACGTGGCGAAATACTGCAAGGGAAGACCCTAGTGGTACTAAAACGATAAAATGTCAGTGACAGGAGGATGGAACAACATTAGGAATCAAGTACTGAGTGAGCCCCGTTGAGAATTTGGGGGTGAAATCGATCACGTTGCCCTGGTCATCTTTGGCGGGAGAAAGGTTCACTGTGGCCAACATCGTCACAATAGCAGACCATATAGAGGCATCAGCAGTATATCGGCCTGATGAAAGGATATCAATGTCTTGAGTCACTACATGCTATACAACATCAAGATAGTTCAACCCACCTGGACATCCGCGCCGGCCTAAGCCGAAAACGTATTCCGCAGGGTCATCATCCGTCAACGCACCATTGACGTCCATGAACCTCTCTGGCATAAAGCGAGATGCGTCAGGGTACCGCTTCTCATCGCGTGAAATGCCCCTGCGAATAGGGTCAGCACATCTCGGTAGCTGGGGAGAACCTATCTGACCATGTGTTGCATATCACGGTCGCTCCTGATGTACGATATTACAAATGATGTATTCATCGGACAAAAAGAACGGACCTTTTGGAATGAAGTAACCATCGTACATATCATCACTCGAGGTAGCATGTGGTATACCTATAAGATCATCTTCAGTAGTGGCAAATAACTCAGGGAGGAAGATTACCCATAGGTGCAATAGGGTGCCATCGGAAAGTCTCCCGCAGAACTGATTCGACGTAGGGCAATGATGTTCTATCTTCAAACGTAGGCAAGCGATCACTTCCAATCACCGAGTCGATCTCTGCTTGTGCGCGCCTTTGAACATCTGGGTAAGATACCATGGCGAGAGCAAAAGCCATCAGGGTTGAAGGAGTCTGTGAAGAAGTTAAGCAGCACCCAAACTAGTTCGGACATCCGCTGACCGTCTCGTATGAACCTGCATAGCATGCATTTGTGAACATAACGCCTCTCGTAAAAAGGTAACAAACCTATAATAGCAGTAGTGGCTGCTTTCTTTAAGGTAGTCTCAAACATTGGTTTGGACGCTTGATCTTGCTTCTCCATCCGTTGTAAGTTTTCTGCCACCATGGACAACTGCCCAGCGGACCAGTTGTCGGCCTTGTCAAGCATGAAATCAGTGTCTAGAACCAAACTAACAGATTCCCACCATGTGCTGCTGCGCATATCGAAATGGCATGTTCATCATTTCCGTTATGCGATTGGTCGAAAGCTGAGCATCGCGTTTGATCGAGGATCCCCAGCACCAGTCAGGTGACTTCAACACTGCGTCAGAGTACAAAATGACAACTTTTCTCTCGTCAAAGAGGGCTGAGCTCACAGAAGGGGAAAGTATTGAACAAGATTGCTCTCTCTTGGGTCAACACAGCCAAGCCAGGAGCCAGTGCATTGTCCACGACTCGAACCAGAGGATCGTCACGATCATTGGCCTGGTAGTCATATATAGCTGACATTACAATAGATAATGAGAATCTGTAGACAGGTTAATAATCATTCAATGTTCACAAACGGATTGGCTGACGTTACGAAGTGGGAATGATAATGTTGAGGATCATGAATGAGATTGACGGCCATCTCACGAGCCCGTCTCATTTGCATTGGGAGAAACCTTACTGCAGACTCGGGACGGAAAGTTTGGTGGAAGAATCGTCGACAAAGACGCCATTCATCACCATAACCTATGAATGCGAAGTCGATTGACAAGCCAAATCTGCCTGCACTTCAGAATGGGTGAATGGAATAATATTAGAATGACTCACGGCTCGAGTGTGGCTAAGTATGGTCGATCGGAGTAAATGCGAGAACGTTTGTCCAGTAAGGCTTCTGCAACGCGCTGAGAATTGATCACGACTACTTCCTGGTTTAGAATTCGCGCGAAGACCAAGTCCCCTGATAGAATGATTTGCACAAATGTACTACTCAAGCTGTCTGTCCACGCACCATAAGCGGCATGCCACTTAGTATAAGTCAACCAAGGTTCTTTAGTGTTGATAGATAAGATGTTCCCTAATAGCGGGAGCGGCACTGGGCCAGGAGGAAGGGACAGTTTGTTCTGTCTGTTCTCAGTGAACCGCCTAAGGGCAGTGACGACAACAAGAGAAATCGGTAAGACGGCGAGGATAGCAAGGCGACCATCAACTGCGGGGATCATGGTTAGCCTAGCAGTGCGTGGGTAGACATCCAAAGCACGAGATGGACCTTATAACAGATGCTTATCGCCCCCTGTACCTGGCATCTCCGGATTTTGGGGTGCTGAAGTCGGAAGAAGACTGAATTCGAAGGATGAATTGAAAATTTGGTGTCGTTGTATAGTAATAATACTAGAAATGAAGGAACACCTAACTTGATTCGTCTATGGTCTGTGCACGTGACCGTCTAGGGAGACTAGTTAGCTTACCGCTTACCTTCATATCGATAGACCAGATTTCATTTTATTCCCCTTACCGGTTCTGTTTACTTGTGGAGCTCGACAAACAAAAGGATCCCGCTCGTTTCGATATTAGGGCGCGCGAAATACCCCCAAATGGCCACTCGTCCGACGCTCTGCCTGACTCCATTAATGTAGTACTGTTGAAACCGCCGTCACATTCCAGCAGCCGTAAAACAGCAATGGGTGACCATGTCCGCCCATATATCATCCAGTGCAATAGCGTACAGTAGTGTGGTCGCCGGTCGGTCATCGAATTCCGGCAGTCTGCTAGTTCCTATGCATGCACCTCCTCCCGATAGAGGATCATAGTGTCATAGCAGTTTCACCAAGGACGACCTTCTGTTCGATAATATGTCCTCAGATTGCAGGTGCGCAACATGAACGTGGAGTGTGTAACGCCCGTCACCTGGGTGCATTCTCTTGCCACTTCTCCTCGATGTTAACCCAACGCTTGCCGCTAGCCGCAGACAAGTAGAAGGAAGACAGTGATTCCCTTGTAATAAGTAATGGGGTGACAAATCCATGGTCTGTCCAACCCGGACACGATACTCAAACTGTCCTAGATAGAACGGGATCGTTCCAACTCGGTAAATCTAACCACATTGTCTGGTATGGTGCATCGACATACCTGCTCCAATGCTTTCACTAGAATTACCTGCGACAAGTTCCTGGCGATGGTCAAACCCCACAACGAGGCTGTTCAAGCCTCGCATGCGAATATAATCCTCATTGCTCGTTGTCGCAGTCCAAACTACATCTCTGACTCAGACAAATGCTTAGAACATCGGCTGTTGACCTACCGAAGGATCCGACCGCTAATTCTCCTGTGCCATACCAGTACGATATAGATTGCAAAAAGTTGAGAACTACAAAAAGTGTACCATCCTGTTGACTGCAATCTGAACAAAAAGCTGAGAACAGACGAATAAGGCTCGTTATCAGGCTGACGGTTTCCCAAGCCACGCAAGGGAACGACTCAAACCCGAGATCCTGCAAGATATCCGAGCCCAAGGCGTTAAAGGCGGGCAGGTCAAGGCGAACCGTGGAGTTCAGTATGTGCCCAGAGTAGAATTGTTCGATGTACAGGCTCAGGGGGAACTTATGCAGATTTGAACGTAACGGAGAAGACGCGGTGACTGTGCATGTAAGCTGTCCACACTGCATGTCTCCGTTGCGCTTTCAACCTACATGCGAGATAAGTTGGTAATGCAGATGAAAGTAGAGAGGGCATTACAAGACGGAGTAGTTGTCCGGAGTACCTGCAAAGACGCTATGAATGTACAAGCAGTCACATACAGCGTTGTGAGTCGTGACATACCATAGGGAAACGGCGGGTATGAGGGAGGCTAAAACTTCCACCACCAGGTATGCGGAGAAGTATGAAGCATCGTCTAATGCTAAGTATATCCTTTAACATGAGCATTACTTGCAACATGCTCGCGACTATCTAGGCAAACGCCACCGGTTCGCGGGGAAAATCAGTCTCGCAATATCCCATTTGTGTGCTTGACATGGTGGGTATCCTGGGGGTTGAGTTTTCCTGAACGTGTTGTCACTCGTCTCTTTTGCCCGATGGTGGAAGAACGAGAAGAAAGTCGGGGATATGTTTTCTTCGCAGGAGGCTAAGAGAGCGGGCGTTAGGCAAATCCCGAACATTACACTCCAAAGGCAGAAAGATAAGGCAATGGGCATGTCGCATGGGGCGTTTCTTGATGTCTTGTCCGGACTCAGAAGCGGCGCAGTGGCACGCACCGATGCCTAGTATATGACAGTTTCGCATCAATATGGGTCGACATCTAGTACACCACCTGGGTAGCACCAGGTTAGCTGTGCTGGTCCCTGGAAGATTGACATACTTACGATGCATGCGCGTTGCTCTACAAGTGATGTGCCCACGCCAGTGGGAAAGGGTTTTGCACGAGTACTCGGTAGTACATAGCAGCCAGTCCCTGTCATATTGACATGGCACAACTGAATTTCTCCGACACTGGAAGGACCCGCCAGACATGCAGCCTAGAGAGAAACAAGGAACGTGCTATGGATCATGATGGTGCTATGTACGTGTCAGACTGTCTCAATCGTAGCGGCGCAAGCGCCAATCCCCGACTCGGCCGACAACAAATTGATCACTCGGGCAATTGCGGTCGTTGTGATTTCTGTCTGTTTTGCATCTGTGGTGTCTCCGATCTCTTAGATTTTATTCGATAATGCACTCCGCCTACACATAATTGAAAACATTTTCAATTATGAAGGGCGCTCGGAGACCAACTGAAGGATATTGGAGATTCGTTTCGGCATGTCTACTGCGTAATGTACATTACACCTAAACCCACATTACCAACGAAAATAGGACACTTTTATTTCCAATGTTCGCTCCCAACAAGATCAGTACTCTGTCACTTGCATGGCGTGGCCGTCCTTTAAGGGGAACTCTTCCTCATCCTCATCCTCTTCGTCTCCGTCTGACGCTTCATCGTTCAAGGGCTTCTTTGTGGCGGATGAACCCTCGGCGCAGTCGGTCGCCTTGCGCTTCCCTTTAGCATCGGTCCAGTAGTTGGCGAACTCCGCGGCTGTAATGGATGCGTCAGGTAACACCTTCATGCTTTTGAGCATGACTTGGTACCTCCGGGATCCGTTCCTGTCTTCTGGCAGGGCGTTCTCTCTTCTGTTTGGCGCGATGGTCCAACTGGCCGTGCTCCATCAGTACAGCGCCCAAGTAATTGAATCTGACACTTACAGCTTCAGTTGGCATTCCACGAACACCATGTCGCCTGTGGCTAGTTTGGTATTGTACTCGTGAGGGCGAATTAGATGGCCGTCACCGTCCCGGATATTCGGTGCGACTACGGTAGCCTCCCGAAGGTTATATTGGGTGATCAAAGACGCGTAGCGTCCGAGAGGATCCGGCAAGTCCGAGAGAGGAGGGTGTTCTGATCCAGTATTAGACACTCATTTTTTCTGTGCGTTTGACTGGCAACGTACCTTGCAGCGTAGTCGTGCTTGATTTCGCACCTCCGGGTGGAGCTCCCGCCATCGCAGCTGCTCTCGCTTTAGCTGGACTCATACAATGTTGTCAGTCGTGCCTCTTGTTCTGAACGAAACTCACTTACACGGGCTTTGCATAGAGTCGCCCTTTCCTATGTCGCACCACCTCAAGCGGGGTACGGATGCGCGCCCAGCATGTGTTATATTGCCGATCAGCGTGTCGGTCGTGAGCACAACGGAGAAACATTCATTTTCTCCAGCACCATAACTGTGCCAGAATGGGTTGTCCCTGGGGTACAAAGTTGGGGCCAGCACTAATTTTGAGGTCAGTAGACTCGTAAGGCTCTCTATAGTCCGTGTTTACTCACGTGCGTTCCTGGCATCCTGAGCTTCGCCGTGCAGGACATTCAACATGTCCATCACTGAGGAGCTGCATTTGATGGCTTCCTCAGGCAAGGTGTCATGCGTGTGAATGTCTAAGGGGCGGATCTCGAACTGCGCCCGCATCTTCTTCAAGGCGGGAAGGTCCAACTATAGCTGCAATTTTGATTGCTTGTCAGAGACAATCAATAGGCTGAACTGGAGACCTGCCCACCCCTGTTCGCGGAAGATTAAAGTAGGGCCCTGTGCGGTCGAACTGACCCTGAAAGTCGATCGTAGCTGGGAACTTGAATGTGAATGCGTCGCCGCCGTCGTTCACCCAGTATTCTGCATTGTCACTCATCCCTCTCAGGGGACGTGGGTTGTTGGTTGGGGGCACACCGGAGACGGTATTTTCATTCACTGCAGGCGTTGTGGTGGATAGTACATAGAGAGACATCCACAAGGGAGACTTCACGGCGTTGGTGACAGTCTCACCAGCGGTCGAGGTAATAGACGCGTCGGAAGAAGACATGGTTGGCTTTTCTGAGTGGGACGGTTGTGATAGGTGGGCATCCTCCATCGTTATCTGAAGTATTTGTATTCCAGAAATCCCCACCTGAATGCTATCTACACAGGAGTTGTACTGAGACATAATCACATGGGACTCACATTAGATGCAAACCTTAACCGTGCCAAGCGCACAGCCCTTCTCGCTCTCGCGTCAATCGGGTGTAAGTCTTAACTCACTTCGCCTTACATTGTCAGGGTCGTTTTCATCGATCCAGTTTTTGTTTGCGTCCAAAGGCAGTGAAACAAAATCTCTTCACTATTATAGGCATGTCACAGATCGAGCATTTAATCAAAAGGCTTTCTCATTCGAGCCATGCGTCTCAGATTCAGATCGAGGCTGCGCTACCGAGAATTACATGTTGAGCAAGTGTACCTTACACCACCTTTACACGTGAAACACACGATCAGAATTATAGAGGCTGATGAAGGACCATTACTCCATACGAACATTCCCTCAACTTCAGGTTCCCCCGGCCCGACGCATCATCAGTTCCATGAGCTTGCCGCTGCCGGAAAGGTAAGGGGCATGGTCGAGTTTTGAAGCCTCAGTCACGAGATAAGTGGCCAGTGCTTCACTGTCTGCAAAAACAATGGTCACCGAGATGTCATTGGCAATGGTCCTGATCATAGCTATGGTGAACGTCAATGTTGAAACATTCCTCATCCATCGATCGTACCTTCGAGCATGAATGCTTGTGAATAGATTATCTCAGACGCGTACGTGACAGAGGCGTTGGGTTCGGTTGGATAATGCGCATTGTCGGAAATGATCTGACTGGCTGACTGGATGTGAAACACAGGCTTTACATCACTGAAGCATTCGACTGCGACATGCTTAGTATGCCATCACCGAGAAGAAGGATGGACTTCACTGAAGATGAAAGAACCTTCACTACCAAACATTGCAATAAATTCCCGCACCGCTGGGGAAACCATAGTGGTCAGTCACATTTCGTTTGCTGAAAGGGTGAATAGAAAGGTGATTGATGGAGAGATCAAGACTCGGTTGTCATCCCTTGCAAGTACCCACTCTCCGCAATTGAACTGCTGCAAATGATAGGGGTTATGCACTCTCACCTAGACACCCGAAACGAAAAAAAAGTTGGACCATACGCCGCGACAGGCCGATCATACATTCTATGCTGTCGGTAGTTTTGATCGTCCCATTGGCCAGGTCTGAGACACAACCGATCGTTCGAGCAGCCCAAGTTTTCAAATCAAAATTTGTGATTGATCGCTGAAACTGTGTCCATAGGTGTGCCTCCCCTGTCAATCGGTCAATCATCTCCCGAGACCACACAGCAAGTTCTGCATTTGCTGCTGACATAGTTTTGATCGCCTCTTGTCTGCGACACAACTGATCGTTCCAGACTGCGATGCGGCTTAGTAAGATCGTTCATAGAGGACACAGCTTGAGTACGAGGAAGAAGGGATAGGAGCAAGAAAGAAAGGGAAAACTATGATGGGCCAACATCAGACGCACCTGTTGTGCTCTTGAATCTTGTAAAGTTAGGGTCCGTCTGCACAAGCCTGGACTGGAATAGCTCCCTCAAGCAAAGCTCGTTAATTCACGATGTAATCTATCACGATATGCAGTAAATGTATATTCTAAGATCAACGATAAGAGAAGGAAATGTGTGCACCTCATTCCACTCCCTCTGTTGCAGAGCTTCAATGACAATGTCTCCAATGCCGACCCCTTCAACACGCTCCATCTCAAGAACACACTCTGTGCTACCTAGGCCCATCTCTCGTCGCATCATCAAAATTGCTATCAAAGCCTATCAAGAGACGCTGAATGATCAGAGAACTAAATTCATGGTCTAGTGTGGCGCTGAACACTTGATCGCGGGTAAGGTTGGATGAGCTCGGGAAGGGAAAATATATTAGATAAATGTCACACAGCACCGCTGACGGCTCCAATAAACTCAAGGAGGCACACATGTACTTTCGAGTGCACAACACAATATAGGTGTGATCTTAGTTCATAGCAGAATACATATAGTGGCACGCCAAACTACAGACTTCCTGGACCTGATTATGTCCTTCTTCTCAAGTCCAGAACTTGGTTTCCCCAATGGCTCTGTCGGAATATGTCAGCGAGCTGTTTTCGTGCGATGGTGAACTTCTACCTTTTAATAACATTATTGACGTCCTCAATGTCATTAGTGGTGCAATCCACCACTTTGTCTTTGTTCTTCCATTCATGCTTGATCACTAACACATTGCCCATGACATCCTCCGCGTGGTCGTCAATGCCAGCAACCTCGCGAATTAATGCATTAGGCGGAGCGAATCCCATTACATGCTCCCTAAAGAAGGTATATCTGCGCGCAGGTGCATGTGTCATGTCGTCAGCCATTACATGATATGTCTTTCGCCCCCTTGATGTCGCCGATGTGATGTTCTCACCGCTGAAGTAATCAACCCAATGACTTACTTCGAGATGGGAGATCTGGGTGAGACTTTCCACCCCATCATGCACGGGTATGACCACGAGGTGCGGCCAGATTGCCCTTGTGCCGTACAGGATGCCTATGCATTTGGATTTGTATGGCTAAAGAGAGACGGCGTGAGTATTTTGATGACCATGTCTGCAGAACACTGACAGGCATATGACCTGTGATTCGTTCTTCCTGCAGTTGTATGCTTCGTAAGTTGTCTGGCACGGGCAGTAGCAGGGAGGTGCACCGCATGCTCATTAGAGTTGCTGTTAAATGGGCAAGATGGGTTTCGGCACTGAGTAGCCAACCGCCACATGGTCTTTGACTTCTTCATGAGCGAAGTCACTGACCATCTGACATCCCACTGGAGAACAAGAGCGCGCTGATCACGGTCGGCAATGGAGCACCACATCATAGGGCAAAGAGAACCACAAGGGGTTCTGAGGAAGCCTGTATTCTTTTTGACAGCCCAACCCGCCTGCTCGATGCAGCCTACATTTTGCCCAGGCGCAGTGCGAAGGGCAGAGTGATTCCTCACCGCAGTTCCCTTGAACGTCCACTCTGGGTAAAGCACTGTCAGTCCTCCTGCTGACATAAAGACCATGTCTGCAGTACTCAGTGCCATTCGTAACCACGTTGAACAGCCCACCTCGTGAAGCTTCAGTGACAGTAATGAAATTTTTGCCACTCTGGAATATTGCAAATGAGGAAACAGCTTGAGTGTAAGTGTAGTTCGCTAAGGTGTTGTGTATGCGGTGGTACTTCAGCATGTCCATGATGAAACAGTACCAGACCAGACTTTCCCCATTAGCCACGACAATGTTGAGGTTTCATGGAGTCCTGCTGTCTCCTGTCAACATCTTCATCGTGCATGACCCAACAATCACTGCTGGCGTTACGTGCATGAGATACCGAAATTCTCCAGTGTGAGAAGCCACAAATGGCTTCACGATATCTCCAAAGCGCTTCACCAGGCAGGAGGATATGATCTCTCGGGTGGCCTGCCCGGTGTTTCTTAACGCCATCACATCTGACAGGAGAGGCAGGTGTTCATAGACAACTTGCACGAGGGCGGCTATCCGAAAGACTTTTCCTGAACTGTCAATGTCTGCTGCATGAAGACAACCGATGAAAATGTACATTCGTTCTTTGCACTTTTCATCATGGTTGACAGTCTTGCGGGCAAATATTATATTTATGTCCTGATGTATGTGCCGTTTTGTCAGTGGGGCGTTTGCTACTCCCTTCCTCCTTACTTTGTCAGAGATCTGGTCAAGTAGATTCACATCTGAAATCGGGCGATGGGCCCAGTCCTGCTTTCATTAGGTCCAGAAGCAATGTCCATTGATCGATTGAGAAGAACATTTCCACTTAATGATTTTGCGTGACTTGCAGAGTGATGATTTCCAGACAATTGTACACTATGTGTGATGCCATGTACTCGCTGTTGAACGTCTTTGACAGGCGTGCCGCCTTCATTCTCAGTATGGCAGTTGCTGCCTCCGCTGTTGCCATGCTCATTCTTGCATTTCCTAGTTGATCATGTTAGGTACCGCTACCCCGAGTTCCATGTTGTCCCAAGCGCCCACATCTGAGAGTCGCAATCTCGGACGTCCTCTCCTGAGCCAGCCATTAGTGTCCTGGTGGTCACCCGTGATATTTTGGCCCAACCTGGATCGCTCGCTTGTAAGTCGATACTGTAGTCCTTATTCGTGTTTCTGATCATCACAGGCACCGTTCACTCTATCGCTCATGACCCTTCCGTTCACACTGTATGCGTGGAAGGGGTGGCTCTCGCCGAATTGTTGGCTGCTGATGTGAGAGTGCAGCATTCTTTAACTCGCATTTTTATCTAACTTAGTGTTAACACCCATCTCTCTACTGTACTCCGCACATATATGCTGTCTGAGACAATAATTTGTATTAAGGACCATCCCTCTACTGTACTTCACAGATATTCGCTGTCTGACACAATCAATCATTCTGTGCGCTTTAACTTTCACCTGCACACTGCCATGGTCTGGCGTTTCAACTGCACACTGAGTTTCCAAACTTCTGTTGCCTCTCAAGTGATTCTCTCAGCCAACTCAACATTCTTGGTGTAAATGGTGTGCACGGCCCAGTCATGCGCAATGAGGTCAACAAGATCTAGTCACAGTAAGTATGAGGCCTTTAGCGTCAATCGAGAGACGCACTGTTGGCGATGGCTGTTGTGCCATACAGTTGTTCTGAGACCATGAGGACTGATTGCAGGTGAGGCCCTTCTTCCTGCGTCTCCATCCCTTTCAAGATTGTGCAAGGGATGACATGGAACATGGGTTGTCCTCTGCTTTGCTGATCCACTGCCTTGTGTCAGTATTTCCACTATAGATAAGCACTTTCGTCCTGACCAATGATGAAAGCGCCATTGAAACCAAAAACACTTAACAGCCCAGCGAATGTCCACGCCATTGCAGATATTGTTGGTCAGTGAGAAGGTGCCGATGATGGTGGTTTTGAACAAAGTTTGCCTCCACGGACTCCCTGACCATGTTCGATTTTGACTTTTTCTCACTGAAACTCCAGATTGGTCCTGATGTCTTGTCGATCATGATCAACTGGGGATTCTCGGTGTCAGAGACCATCGGCACAGAGTCGGGTGGACCGAGGAGAAGTTTAGCACAGCGGGGGGATTCAATTGCCAGACGAAAGCATGAAAAAAGCGGAAGTGACAGGATGTCAAGTGCAAAACCTGACATGGACGTGGCAGATCGCAAGACGAAAGCATGAAAAATGCAGATTCGGCAGTGTTTCAAGTGCAAAACCTGACATGTACATGGCAGCAGCTTGGCAGGACAAGGAAACTGAGACATGTTCAAAAGGGGCGCAATAATAGTCCATGATAAGCAAGGCGGACATTGTCCAATCGAGTTAAATTAACCAGAATATTCAGAGAACTATTTACAGGCGATGAGGGATGACGCTATGGGTGATGTTGAAAACCTGGATGGCGCGCTTGGAGGATGATCAGGAAGAAATTCTGGAGTGGATACAGATGGCACTTACCCTCCATGTAGCGATGTCAAATTCAAGCACCTGTTGATGGTTGGTGTCTATACCACCGGTGCCACCTTCAAAGGAGTATTCAAGAGAGACTACTGAGCTTCAGCAATCGTCGTTTGTGATTTGATCTCACTCACATATGACCGGTTCTTGATCTTCTGTCAAGTCCATACCACATATGCCATTGTTGATCAGAATCGTGAGATAGTATATGTTCTCGACCAACTGCCCAAAACTGTGAGGGTTGATGACAAGGTTAAACAGGTTTATAGTGACTTCTTCGCATACGATCCGGCGTATCTGGATAAAAGACCGTAAGACCATGTCTGGCAATGTGCTCACGCTGAAGCTTACTTCTTCAATTCAGTTGAGAACGTAGGTCTCGTGATCAGTGTCACTGTAGGACACTTTAGAAGACATGGTTCAGGAGATGGTCATTGTCGGTAATGATAAGCAATGTGCAGCATTCACAAGTGATGCGTGACAACTCCAGGAAAGCACCACAAACAGAACCAAAGTGCCCTGTTGTGTGATGCACACAACGACACTGTACATTTCATGTGTTGCGTCGTCTTCGCCGCGGGCACACACTGGGCTTGTTGGTCAGTGATAAGAAGAACAGTGAGTGTCAAATTACCACACACTTGGAACGCACCGCAGCAGTCCTGACACTTTGCAATACAGCTTCAAGCGTCTACCGTCATCAAGCCCATATCATGATCCAATGAGTACACATACACGAGCGTGGGACTTCCTTCCAGCCTCGTCAATTGCTTCACGTTGTCAACCACCAATGGGCTAGCGACTGGAAGATATGGACATCCTCCGTTTGCTTGTCCATCATAGGCCCATGTACAGGTATCTGTCAGAAGACGTGCGGTGAAGTGTTGGGCCCCCAGGTAGAGTACACCTTTTAGGCTGTAGAGTACCCGTCCTTTATCACAGGGCAAGGATAGAGAAAGACAGGGTAGGATGACGTCCACCTGGTCACTGCGCAATCTCAAAGAACAAGAGTGGTGGGGCGCGGCTCAAACTGATCGAGAAAGGGGATGTGCGAGGTGAGCCCCGATGTGTCACTGCGCTCAACTTTGTGACCTGCCTTTGGAACCACAGATCACACCAGATCCGCAAATCCATGGTGGCCTGATCATTGACATGCCAATGCAACTGATTGCAGTATCATGGTAGGCTGAACGGCAGCGTGTCCTGCACTTCTGCAGCTGGAGGTGGAGGTGGCATGGGAAACACCTGGCAGAGCACAGGCTCTGTGCTGGAACACAAGTATTCCAATATCGCAGTGACAGATGTTAATGTAGGTCCCACACGGGGAAACAACGACGGGTCCATGGATGATAGGCGATCACGCAGATTGTCGAACATTTCCTGTGATCCCAAGGCGGTGATAGATGATCCTAAGTCTTGAAAAGCTGAGGCCAAGAACATGGTAAGTGGATTGCTGCTTCTCCATGACGTTCTCCATTGATCTTCTGCCTGATGGTACATGTAGAACAGGACCATGAAGACGCTATTGTATGCACAGGACCAGTCTTGTGGTGACCATTTGCAGCCACTCAATATGGGAGGGGGGGAAGGGTGACGATGTGAAGGAGAATGCAAAATGGTTGTGTTGGACATCCGTGTGCGTTTCATTGGAGTTGGTTGGGGATCTAAACACTTTTCTTCACCTGGCGATGCCGATTCAATGTCTTCCCTGCGTCGTTTGGAATTCTTTTTCTGATCAATCACAGAGTCTGATGCGAACTCCACAGCAATAGCGATTGGTGCGATGATGTGTTCAGCCTCCAGCGTCTGGTACTGACACGGGTGCACTTTTTCTGATGCCCAATTTGACAAGTGTGTTATGCTCCAGTGCATCAAACCACCTGACTTCCAGAGCCAAATTGTGGGGTATGCGTTTGTTCAATTGGTCCAAGGAGACCTGCTGAGTGATGCAAAGGCCACTGCGTCCTCGTGCTCGCTGATGCTGCCACATATGCACCAAAACCACCTTCGTGCAGGTTTGCAAGGACATGGGGCAGTGTCTTCCCTTGTGCCGAGTGCCCAGTGACTGCGAAAGCTGGTTGGATGGGAAGCTGATGTCTGGTTATTTGTATCTTCTCTGTGTTACCATCGTCACTAACAATGGATGTGGTAAATGTCCACGTTGATGGAATGATCGGATAATATCCAATGGGCAGGCCAGTCAGGTGTACCTTGCTGTGCGTGAACTCCACCAACATACAAGTGGCATACATGAACCCTGCAGGACATAGTGCGGTGAATATTTTTCGCACTATCCCCTGTGCACCATTGGTGATTCCAAGGTCTGTGGATAGGTTATGGCTGCGCAGGATGACTGGCATGCCCTCAAAGAGACTGACATGCCCCAGAAGAGGCGACGTGGACTTCAGCGCCCCCACGTTCAGACGGAGAAGGTCTCTACGTTGCTTGAGACCAAGCTCCTGACTGGCCTTGTCGACAGCTGTGCAAACTGTGAGAGTCTGCATAGCAGGACATGTGCTTTCGGCTTTGTGGCCATTGAGTACCTCTCGAAGTGCATTGGTGGTGACGATAGCTGCTGCATTTCCATTGTCCCCTTCACTCATATCCACGCCCGAAGGGTATGAGGCTGATTTTATTAATCTGGAATTGAACAGATCAATGTCTTCATATGTGCACTTGCGCTCCCTTAACCGATTCACAGCTCCGGCATATTCTGGGTCCCCTTTCATGTGTTGTTGGTCCGTCAGATTGATGACAGTGTTGATCGATTTCCATGCGAGACGACCAAGCCGTTTCTGAATCTTAGCATCGTTCTGCCCGGCATAGGAGGAAATGGGGATGTATAAAGCACTGCCGCCGACAGGCGGAAATTGAAAGAAGTCACCGGAGAATATGATAGACATGCCTCCAAACCACAGGTGAGGCTTCTCCTTCGCAAATTGCAAGGTGTGGTCAATTTCGGCCAACAACTGCAGACCCACTAATGACACCTCATCGAGCAGAATGAACTCGACATACTTCCGCTCGTCTCGCAGTTGTGTTCTGTTGGCGACGCTGATCAACACAGAGTAATCTTCTGCCATGGCACCAACATTGTGATTGCCCTTCCCTCTGTTTTTACTCTTAATCTTGATGCCAAGGCCCTTGTGTACTGTCATGCCATTGATGAGTGCTGCTGCAGATCCAGTTGGAGCGAGGAATCTGATGAGATGTGCACAGCCATAGTGTTCCATTACGCGTTGAACAGCTTTGACCACATGTGTTTTCCCAGTGCCTCCTGGACCCATCATAAGCATCCGCAACTGCTCCTCTTCTGGCAACCGCTTTTCAACATATTTGGCCATGAAAAATTCAGCAATGATACGGAATGCAACCCACTGCTTAGCATTCAGGCTGAACTCGCTGCCGACAGTGTCGATAACATCTTGTGCCGTCAAGAGTTTCATTGCATTGTCCTGACTGGTTGGGACATCTATCAGTTGGGGCATGGCATTAGGATCACAGTGTAATTCAGGACCAACTTCGGAAGGAGGGGGTAATGTGGTGGATTGTGCCTCCGGATTGAGGGCGTTGCGACGGGAATTGGCTATATCCTTCTCTTGCTTCTTCAACTCCACTTTCCATGTCTTGAGATGGCGTGGCAACTCCCCAATGAGATGAGAGAACTTGTCACCAGGGTCACAAGTTGTGCTGGACACTTTCGTTGGGGCCATGTCATGAATGTTACCAACTGCATCTAAATTTCGATTATCAAACCCTAAGTCACCTTATCCGATAAGATTAGATTAGATAGATCCCTGATAAGATAAGATGGATAACCGATTAACGATCACTATCTTTACATCACATCTATGCTACATCGACGTCATCCATCTATATCCGTAACCCTAGACATATGAACTCATCACATCCTTAGAAGTCCTACGATTAGGCAACGGGTTACATCATAAGCATCTACATGCCTCTATGATCGAACCATAACCGAGAGTCCTTTACGAGCTATCTCTCGAAGAGTCATCATCCCTTCACATCGCAGACCTTCATGACATGTTAAGAGTTACCTCTGTCATTCACTGAACCCCTTACATTGGAACCTGTTGCACAGTCACAGCTAAACCCTGAACCCCTATCACAGAAGCGCCACTCATAGAGAAGCATGCTCATTACTGAAGACCCTGGAGAAACCCTTAAGATACGATCATACCCAATACATCTCCAGATCCTCAAGATCCTTAATCACCGCTCGAGACTTCTAAGTCACAGAACTCTCTCTCACCCTTCTTAATCTCCGCTCACCCTGAATAGAAGCAGTCCCTGAGAACCCTGCTTAATCACCGATACCCTTGACCCCTATGAACCCTTTCCCTGTAGTTGATTGGTTGATAAGACGCCCTATACCCTAGGCGCAATGTTATGATCGTATATAGATATATCACTACCTTTCATACTCAGATATCTCCACCTAGAGAGTAGTATATAGTTTAGGTCATAGTCAGTAGTACTCCTTAGACTTAACCTCTTCATTCCTACCTTGAGTAGACAGAGACGTTCACTCTCAATCTCATCCTTGCTCTTAAAACTTGACGAGTCCTAGTGGTTGTGTGAAACCTTTGCCAATCGGTGAACGTTGATCATAACAGGCCATTGGCGCTTTGGAACGGGATGTGAGCCACTGACATTGTTGCATGAGTAGAACAGTTTGACTGATTGCAAAATCTTCTTCAGCACGGTGTGAGGGCATGCGCGACATATCAATTTCAACATCATCATCCGTGAGGCTAGCAAGTCCTAATGATGTAGATAAAGCCTTACTTTCTGCTGTCATGCTTGCTTTCTTGTGAAGTCGATCTGCATCTCTTTCATCTTCGCATTCATGGATCGCTTCCCAGTTGTTCATCACTTGGCGACTGCGACCCGAGAAAGAGTACTTCTGAAAGGTGCTAATCACTGATTCCATGCCGGATAGGAGTGGGACGATCACACTAAATGGTTTGAAATGTGCAAGGGCGAATAAAGCCCAAGCTGTGGCATCTGAACGACGAGGTATGGAACATCCAACCACTCGTGGAATAAATTCTTGATAGCCGTCTCCTCGTTGTTCATTTGTGTGTTCCTGAAGCTCATGGGTCTCATGGGCGGGATGTCCAGGTTTTAATGCGTGTCTTCTATAGACCCCAAGACGTGTTTCATGTGTGTTCTTCATGCGGGCGCTGCTCTTGATGGTTTCTACACAAACACAATGACAAAAATCATAAAAGCTCATCTGGGCCAAAGCGTCTGAGCAGTACAGATAATGATGTATCTGGTTTGCTTCCACTAACTTTCCATCCTTGTCAGTCGCGATTTGGAGTTGGACTTGTTCGACTTCGTCGTCATCATGGTCATCAGGTGTCATCGTGTCGCAGCGAATGTATTGTTCATGAACATAGGCAAGTAACAAGGATGACATCATCGGAACAGTCTGATGAGAGCAAGTACTGTCATCGAAACCTTGAATGTATCGCGCAGCCTGTTGAGCATGGACCTGTTGTTGCCAATTAAACTGTGACAAGCACTTGTGAAGGAGTGCTTTACCATGATCGACAACATTTCCTTGATGCACAATCTGTTTGGGGATTCGGGCGACAGCACGAGATAATAGAGACAATACCTCATAAGTCTTCACATCCATCTTAGTGATGTAGTCAGAGATATAGAACATAGCAGCTTTCGCTCCTTTGCCAGATAAAATGCATTTGATATCGTGATTGTGACGGCAGAATACGAGGATGTAAGGATTGAAGTAGTTGACATTTGCGTCACAACACATAAGCACCACAGAGTTTGTCTGATCATCAAAGTGAGATGCGTCGACAACTTCATGCAGAAACAAGAAACGACAGCAGCCTTGGTTGCCGTACTTGTGACACACCGAGTGACAGTGATGGCATTGCAGAACCTCCCCACATTTTTTGACTTCAGACATGAATAACACTTCCCACTTTTCAGTTGCATCCATTCCTTCAGGCTGTTTGGATGGAGGCATGGGAGGCCTTTGGATGCGAGGTTCAAAATGTTCATCGACGGAATCTTCAACATCAGGCAGGTGATGGTGAATTGCTGCCTTGAAGAAACGAAAAAATTGGTCTTGAAAGTCAGAGTCTGTCCGAAGACGCATATGGAGTTCTGAGGGATTCATTCCTCCTTCCAACCATATCAGAAAGTGCCCGTGGAGAGCGCCACATTCCGTAAACTCAGTGGTGCCATAGAATGCTCGAATATGCCCCAGAATACCGCCATCCTTTATTGATTGCTCCTGTTCAAAGTCCCAGCCCAACAAGAAATGAAACAGGCACTTAAAAGAAAACTCATAAAAGTCTGCAGCTGCCACAGGGTCTTGGGCTAACCGCAAAGCACACACACGGCCAGCTGGCATACATGGAAAGCATTCGCTCAAGTCCACGGAATGGTCCCCATACATCACCTGAAAGATCGGACTGTGGGCAGCGCTGGGATTGAAGGTCAAAAAAACATGCGGTAAGCCAAAGTAGCCATAGTAGTTGCACATCTCATTATGCACATATACCTTTGCAGCTTGTGACCCGGGAATGCGAGCGGACATGGTGTTGACCTGACGTAGAAGCTTAAGGGCGTTCTGCTCATCTGTGGTAAGACCTGACAGCTTGCATTCTTGTTCGAGCTGTGCTGCCAAATGGTGGAGCACACTGGCGGACACAGTAGTCAGATTGCGTGCCACACTTTCAAAATTGGATTTTCGCACGACAAAAGAGGTCTGCAGATGAGCACGTCACCTCTGCAGCATATTCAAGAGAACAAACATAAATGTATCATGATATCAAAAATGCCGATCTGAGAGATTGAGGAAATACTTGGCCTGCCGGTTGAATGCCAAAGGTGTCATACGTTGATCATCTTCAAAGCCACCAATTCCATATGGAAACAGGGTGGGATACATCCCAGGAAACAGCGGAGTGTTATTGTATTCAGGAATAGCTGAATCAGTATGATGCAGAACGAGATCAGGTAAACCAGTCAAGTGACCACCGGGGAGGAGGTTACGAAGTGCTGAAGCTGTAAAGGCTCGTCCACTCAGTTTGTCGCATTCTGGATCGGAAACGCCCATCTTCTCTACCAAAACAGGTGCACTCTCAAGGTTGGCAGTGATGTCAGCGGGATCAGTGTCGTGCATGAGAGAAGCAGGATGGCCACTGAAACCAGATGTCTCGCTCGCGAACACAGCTTGTGGATTCAATTCGTGATCTACAACAACACGGTTATCCAGCCCAGGGAGAGTGCCGTCAGATGGATAAAGATCCATGATGGTCTCATCTAATGGTATGTCAGCATATAGGTGATTGTGTGCCTTGAGCCACTGCAGAAATGTCCAGATTTTGTGTTTTCGCATGCAGAACAGGGTACCCATTCGTTTGGGGTTAAAAGCTTCAGGTCCGATGAAAATGACACTCAGGAAACCATTGATGTCTGCGGGAGCTCGTGGGAGAACCGAGGCAGTGGACATAATGTTCATGTCATGTGCACAGGTGTTTCCATGAAAAACCTTCGGTTGGGTTGGATCAGAAGACTGGAAAAGTCGTGTGACGTGCACTGTGATTGAGTAAATCGCGCACACCTTTTCTTCAATCCAGGTCAGGTCACTGAATTGGGAAGGAAGGGAGCCTCGATACAGGCGATTGGCCAGTGCAAGGGCAGGAAGTTTGTTGTGGGTCAAGGCGGAGTGGCAAGGAGAGCACATCATAAGCGATGCATCTCCAGAAACGCGAGAAACGAGTCCCAATTTGTCTAACTGGAGACCTTCGAGGATGTTGTGGCCATAGGTGAAGCAGGTTGAGAGCGACTGCACGATGCAATTCTTGATAATGTAAGGATCAGAAACGCATAGCAGGTCGAGATGAAGAGACGTCAAATCACTGGAAAGGGGAATCTCCATAGCCTTTCTGTCATACTGCGAGCAAACAGTGCAAACAGCAGGGTCCTCCCATGCAGAACCTTTGATGTATTCGTTCAGCCGCTCTAATATCACTTCTTGAGACACAGGAACAGGCCACTCTTCTTCTCGAGACACTCGGTGCGCTCGTGCAGCAGCAATGACAGACTGTTTGTTTTCCGCCCGAAGTACTTTACGTTGAGCAGGTGGAGATGCAATTTCTAAGGAGAGACACTGAATGATCAGAGAACCAAATTCATGGTCTAGTGTCGCGCTGAACACTTGATCGCAGGTAAGGTTGGATGAGCTCAGGAAGGGAAAATATATCAGATAAATGTTGCACAGCACCGCCGGAGGGCACGCATGGAGGTAGATTGCCTGCCGACGTATGCAATCCACCAGAGCATTGCATGACTTCCGATGTGAACACGAGTGGTACATGTGGTGGAAATCAGCTGGCAAGTGACGAATACATGCGTGGATATCTGGATGAGGGAGATGCTCAAGTCGTTTGGTGAGCTCTTCCACTGGAATGGACAGCCAAGTGGAATAAATATTAAGGCAAGGTGGCTCACCTGCCCGCAACATTAGGAGGTGACCTGTATGCAAAGCTGTGGTGACTTCTACACCATAAGTGGATTGAATGGCAGCGGCGAGAAGTGTTGCTCTGCTTTGCAAAGAAGTTGATGGAAGAGCTCCAGCAACGCACCGATGGAGTTCCTCATCAGCTATAGCGCGAAGTTCAGTCCGAGTACGCGCAAAGTGGCAAATGAGAAACTGTATGCAGGAAGCTTTGACGCGGGCATCAGATCGTTGACACCCAAGAAGTTGGGCGGCAGTTTGCAGAACATTAGCCAGCAATGCACAGAGATTAGCTTCATGACACGCTTCGGAGTGACAGAACCATGCAGGTTCAGCATCGAACACAGCTATAAAAGAATTCTCCAGATCTGAAATGGTTTGCCGTGAACAAACCTTCAAGCACGTGAAGACTGTACAGTGAGTGTATGTTGAAGACTCAAACACAGAGAGGGAAAAGGTAACAGCAAGATGTCCCACTTGAACCACTATATGAGGTGCCACAAATCGGACTGAGATGGCATCAACAGTAGGCAAGCACTTGAAACAACGCTGTATGTGATCTGTAAGTGTGGTCTGCAACCAGCGACAGAAACTGGCCGAGGTGTCATAGATAGCAGAATGATACACAGGGTAGTACAACAGATCATAAAAATGAGGGTATGAGGGTATTTCATGGTTGACATCATGCGGCGGACAATCAGCAACGGCTAGGACGCGCGCCCGCGTGCAGGGACTCTTGCACATAAACGGTGACATCTCATGGACAACCAGGTGGCAGCTGTGCAGAAAAAATCAGCGAAAATGTAGCAATTAAACCACCAAAACTCACCACAGAGGAGAACAACAGCAGGAAGCCAAAATCTCAGTGAAATGCAGACAATCAGCGCAGAGTGGGGTGACCCAAGGGTACCACGTCGGAGGAGAGGTTTACGAGCGCGGAGGCTTCAATTGCAAGACAAAAGCATGAAAAAAGCAGAACTGGCGGTATTTCAAGCGCGATTGCTGACATTTACCTGGCAACAGCTTGGCAGGACAAGGAAAGTGAGACATGATGAAATTACGCGAGCCTGTGATATGTGTTAAATTTTTTTGCCCAGGTTTTGGCTTAAGGTGATGTAGGCCTGCACCAGCGCACCTTTGAGGTGTAGACCGTACTCTGCAGGCCTGATTCCTTCTCCGTCAAACACGAACGAGGTCAGTGGGGTGGTGTGATGTGTACCCGTTAAATAGTACAAACTATTCTGCAGAGACCCGCGCATCAAGATCACCATATGAAACCTTCTGAAGTTTGCTAGAACCTTCTCGAAGCAAACCTTGACTTGAAAAGGAAATATTTTCAGGCGCACATTTGCATACAGGTGCCTGGCCGTTTGGAGCTGACAGAACCCTCCCTACTTCGTAGAGTCGGGGATCTATGGTCAAGATGTAGTCATTGTTCCTTAACTTTCTTTCACAGATCTACACAAGTTCGTGCTCACATACTCCTTCTATACATCTAACCAATTTATTGCGTCTCCCACAGCTGAGCCTGCCATGGTCATATTCTACGTCATGCTGAAAACTACGTTGTTGCATGTTACAACTTCCGACGACGCTGAGATCTGCACAATCTTTCAGGACCTCAAATCCAGATCAGAAATAGCGCGTCAGATGTTGGGTAGAACAATGTTTGATCAATACGAGTACTATAAGCTCAAAGACCCCATGCCACTCCCCCTCCGCTTCTCAAACTGCGCAGCGATCGTCCAGACGTGCCTGGATAGGAGGGAATGGGAAGAATTGTCTCCCTATGATGTCTTGGATGTACGAGCGTCAAATTTAGCCATTAGACATGTCTACATGGTCATCCAGCCTCGGGCGGGTGAGCTGCCAGCGTATCTGTTGATATTGATTAGCTCATCCCTCATTTGTTCAGATCCAGCAGAGACAGTTATTCGAGATCTCAAAGCAAATTATGCAGATATATTTAGTCACCTGCAGATCACGTTATCCAGCCTGCAAAACTGGATAATGGCGGACGTCCGCAATAACTTGGCTGGTGGCGGGTGGTGGCATCCCAACAATGTACATGGTGATGAATTTCCTGTCGCAATCTCTGGCATAGAGGAAGCGTTGGCGCAATCCCATACCTATAATGTGAGCACTTCTATTGCTGTATCTATAGCCCTTCCTCAGTTCTTCCCCAAGGTCCCGGCAGCCCGAGAGATCAGGGACTATCGGAATGCTCTCTCCTACACTACACAATTTAACAAGATCTTTACGTTGGCTGCGAACCAATCAGGCGAGGATTCCCACCAGGAATTTGCAACATTTTTCAATGTCCTTCGGTGCTTTGGCGAGGACTCAGATTGCATTGAGAGCGATGGATCCTCCGCCCTGAAGGCCAGCAACTTCATTGTGTATTTTATATCACCGCCGTTCTTTGCCCGTCGCAGCCCACATTTCGAATTCAGTCAGTAAGTGGGTCAACTTGCCGCAGTTCAACTGCTTATCATGAAATTTTTCAGGGAGAAGCCTTGGGGCTTCCCCATATTCCTCGGTACTCCAGATCTGCCCGATGCTCGGTGCAAATTTCGCCCAAGGAGCGATTTCATGGTTTTGTCGCCAAAGTTTCTTTGCCCGTTCTTAATCTCCGAGGTGGTTTCGCAGGAAAAGGAGGAAGATCAATACCGAATGCTGCTCCAAGCCATTACCGTTGCGAGGGCAGGGCAGTACTTGATTCGCAAAGGTGCACCAGTACACTTTTTCGTCGTAGCAATTTATCTACGGGCAAATTTGACTGTAGAAAGATATGTAGTTGCTAATATCGGACTGCAAAGACAGGTGTGTCATCCTGTTCGTTGTCTTGTTTCTCTCCCTCACAGAGAGGCCAGATTTCCATTGCCCAGAAAGATTTTAAACTTACCACGGCAGATGGTGTGGTCGCATTCCTTTGTGAGATGTACAACCTCGTGGCAATACTTGAGGAACTGGCCGAGCATCTTGACCAAGGTAAGGAGGGCAGCCTTAGTGAAGTCAAAGACACTGCTTCCAAGTTGCTCTCCCTCACAATGGCCAAAGAGAGGGAGCCAGTCCGGTTGGTGTTGCCCCCAATACCTGAGGGCAGTGGAAATGGCCAGGCCCAAGATGATCTCGGCATCTTTAGTGCTGATGATATCCAAGTTATTTTGAGAAGGATGAATTATGAGATCAACTTTATTCTTTTCGGGGTACGTATCCTCACAATGTCCTGGAATGTGATATTAACAGATTACAACACACTTTACAGTATCCACTCATCACGTCTGTTTTGAATATTACTCACGAGGCCAAGAAGGGATACCTGAAGTTTGTGCAAGAAGGGCGGAAGGAAATTGAAATCTTGTAATACCTCACAGGAATCAGTTCTCCTGCAAACCATACCATATCTGGAGTCTGAATCTGGCCTGTGCAAGGCGGCAACATCATATCAATGCCTGTGGCTGGCGGCTGGCGGCTGGCTTACGATGCTAAAAAACCCTGATGTGCACCTGTGGTCCGTAGCTAAACAGCTGTTTGAAGCCGTCGACTTCATGCACCAACACGGTGTGGCGCACATGGATCTGAAACCGCAAAACATTTTGATCCCTCGTGACGGCGGACATCTGTCTATCATCGACTTCAACACCTCCTTGCGCGTCAAGGGTGTTGGACGCAAGTTTGGTGGTATCGTGGGCACAACCGGGTATATTTCCCCCAAGGTAGCTGCTGGTAATGGCCTCTACAGTGTGATCCGTGCAGACTTGTGGTCCTGTGGAAAGACATTAGAGGAGCTGTGTATCAAGTGCCACCCATCCATGGATCGCGATACGCTGCTCGAGATATCTCGACAACTTATGGATGAAGATCTGGAAAAGCGACCAACGATGTCGGATGTGTTGGGCCGGCTGGCCCATTGTACTGTTGACGCTACCACTACACCAGATTCCCTAAGGTAATGTGCTTCTCTTGCGGCATGCATTTACTTGTTCTGGGCAGTTTCTACTCTGTTGCCCCACCGGAAGTGAATGCATGAATGCAATACCGGATGTACTATCACCTGATCCGGAATGCACAATCGATGGGTAATGCACAATGCACTCCAGAGTTCACCACTCTACATATATTTCATTCGGAACAGCTGGAGAACAAGTATTAGCATATGTTCAATAAGACTGCCAAATCAAATATTTAAAATCGGTGCTGTGAAGCCTTCCCGAGATGAAACATTGTGTGAGTGTACCCAAAATGAGTGATTTTTGGACACTAAATCCAAGATCCACCCACATCCCATTGACCTATCAACATAGGAACTTCAACATGTATGAAATACACCATTTTGAATCTGCCCCAGGTGTTTCTATGTCAATAGAACACCACCACAGCGTGCTATTCACGATTCATGAGCAAAGCGTGACGGTCAGACTAGATTGGGAAATCACACTCTCGGCTTGGTTGAGTCTCCGCTTTGTTTGCATTCGGCAACACTGGACTTTCATTCGCTTTGCGCGCTGTCGGACTTTGGATATCATTGTGTATTGGCCGAGGTGCCGCGCGTGACATAGTGTGACGAAATTGTGCATTTCTATTGTGTTTTCGACATCTCAACTTCCAGTGCTGCCGCTGCAACAAGCTCGCGATAAAATAAAATAAATTCTTGTTGGGCCTTATGCGCAGAGACCTAAGGTATACACTACAGTAGATCCGATACGAATATGTGTTGTTGTTGTGTTGCTATTCAGCAATAAGTGAAAATTGTGCATTTCCCGTCGAATGATAGTATACCAGGTCATATTTTATTTATTTTGTAAATTGTTTGTATGGACCCAGAAGTAACTGGTAGCCGCGACTCAGTTACGGAAACCTGCTTGCAATGGTGTTGTCCATCTCGTTGATCTATATCAGATAGCCATAAGTCGTTCATGTCCATGTCGAACGCGCCTCGAACGCAGCTGGACCATGCCTATGGGATGGGAAGACTAGGATATATGCGGAATAGCGAGATGCCTGTGTCAGAGCGCTAAATATGGCACATGCAAGACGGTACCGAAAGATCAACTAGATGTGAGTCGTCATCAAGTCTTTGTAAATACCACCTGGCACAGACAATATGTACCCATCAAGAACCACCAGTCAAGGAACATGGCCTCAAATGCACTGGCAACCCAGTTTCAAGGCCATCTAAACGAGTTCCAGATCTCCCTCGAGCCCAGCGCGCTTAATTACCTTACATCTATGCTCGCCGTCATGTCTATGTCCGATAAAGCCAAGGACATACGAGATGCCACGGAGATGTTTCTTGAGGAGGCTGATGTGGACCCCGAGAAGATCAACCAGTTTTATGCGACCTTTGGCCAGGGATGTATGAAGACATCTTCAGGGTTTGTATTCCGCTTTCATTCTTATTCTGAGTCTGACGCACCGATGAAGGTCTTTAACGTCGGTGTCAGGGTCTACTACCTCTGCGGAGAATGCTCTGCCACTAGACCCACCGAAACCTATGTCGGCTATTGAGGCCCGCCGCATGAAACGCGCGCAAAAGAAGGCCGCCGCTGTTGCCTCCCCATCGCCGTCCACAGAAACAGAGCCTAAGATAGTAGCAACAGCCCAACAAAGCCGGTTCCACCGCGAGACGCTCGTGACATCGTCCAAAGACATCGACATGCAGACTGTCAACATCACCGTCAACAACCTCGACATCCTCGTCGATGCGCATTTGCGTCTCAAGGAAGGCGTACGGTACGGTCTCGTAGGGCAGAATGGCGTCGGAAAGACGAGTCAGCTCCTTTATTTGTAGTACTTTCAACTTGCCTCTAAGTCGACATTGCAGTGTTGATGAGATGCATGGCGGATAATATTCTTGCTATGCCAAGCAATCTCAATATCCTCCACATCGCGCAGCTAGAGATATTTGACGAGTCCACCACCGTGTTGAACGAAGTACTCGAAGCAGACAAGGCTTGCACGAACGCTTTGCGAGAATACGAAGGTAAATCGTCTCCTCACTGTATGCGCAAATCTGAATCTATCTCCATAGTCTTACACGCAATCTTCGGAGACACACCTCAGTCCACCTCGTCAAACACTGCCCAGCTGAATATTGCTCTTCACAACATCTTCATTTCTCGAATGCAGACCCGCGTGATCGCCGCGCAGCAACTCGCACTGAAGCGCTCGGGCGCACGTGGATATGATGCCCGTCAGGCACAGGTCGCGATAGAAATCGAGTTCACTGCGCTGAAGGCCCAGGACCCGCAGGTCTACATCTCACCTGACATGGCGAACGACCTGATCACGGACGTGTTTGACAAATTCGCGCTGATTGATCTGGATGCGCGGAAAGCAAATGCGAGAAAAATCCTGCGAGGTCTTGGATTTGAGGAGGCCCAAGTCGAGGCCAGGGTACAAACCTTGAGCGGTGGATGGCGGATGCAGATTGCGCTTGCGAAAGCGCTGTTTGTGGGCCCTGACATCCTCCTGCTAGACGAACCAAGTATGTCGTTTTCTATCATAGACATCCACCTATTCATGTGCACAGCAAACCATCTTGACCTGCCTGCGATCCTCTGGCTACAAGAATACCTGATGAACGAAACAGCGGGACTGACGTTAGTGGTCGTGTCGCACGACCGGGCGTTTCTGAACGCGGTGACGACTGAGACGATCATTCTGCGGGACAAGATACTGAAATACCATGCGGGTTCATTCGCAGACTACGAGAGCACGAGTGAGGAGCAACGAGTACGGAAGCAGGCGTTGCTAGACTTACAGGCAAAGAAACGGGCGAAGATCGCAGCAAGCATCCAGCACGATGTGCAACAGGCGCGAGCGACCGGGGATGACAAACGGCTTGGGCAAGTGACGAGCCGGAAGAAGAAGCTTGAGCGTCTCGGAATGGAGAAGATGGAGGATGGAAAGCGCTTCAAAGTGTCGTACTGGGCCGGGTACCACACGGGAGTACGTGCGGAGATTGAGATTGAGAAAGCCATAAGGACCACGGCCATCAAAATCCCAGATCCTCCTCCGTTGCGGTACCACGGGTCCGTGTTCACCGTGAAGAATGCGTCATTTCGCTACCCCACTTCGGATAAAGACGTTCTTATAGACGTCAGCCTCGATGTGGGTCCGCATGCTCGCATAGCACTGCTCGGCCCGAACGGGTGCGGGAAGACGACCCTACTGAACATGATGGTGGGTGTGACGCAGCCGACAGTCGGGGAGGTATATCGACACCCTTCGCTGCGCATCGGCTACTTCTCGCAGCATGCGGTCGACCAACTCACGCTCACACGCACACCCATCGAAGAGATGCGCTCTCGATACCCAGGGCTTTCAGAACAGGAGTGCCGGGCTCACTTTGGCACTGTCGGCGTGAGTGGGAATACCGTTCTGCGGAAGATCGCAGACCTCAGTGGAGGACAGCGGAACCGCATTGCGCTTGCGATGATTCTGTACGATGCACCGCATGTGCTCGTACTTGATGAGATTACGAATCATTTGGATATGGGCACTGTGGATAGGCTGGTGGAGGCGCTGGAGGGCTTTGAGGGAGCGTTGGTGTTGGTGAGCCATGACGTGTGGTTTATGAAACAACTGATGGAGGCAGAGGACGACAACGAAGATGAAAGTGATGTGAAGGAAGAGAGGACGTTTTACGTCGTTCGGAATGGTGCTGTGAAGCGCTGGGAGAAAGATATGGATGGATATGTTGAGGCGGTCATGAAGAAGGTCAAAAAATGACAAGTACTTCTGGACGCATACATTATGTTACAGTTCCGACCTGAATCTCTGACTGACATACCGCCTGCCAACTTTTTCTTTCTTTTAGCTGCCTTATCATCCCTGATCCCGACTTTGTTAGCCTTGTATTCCCTGTGAATTATAATGTTCTCCTTCTGTTGAGCGGACGAACTGGTTCGAAATCATAGATGCAGATGAGGCAACTAGGTATGAGAGTAGTACAGCAACAACATACCATTCGTCCGAACAGGTTTCTGGAGCATTTCTAAATTTCAATCAGCTTCAACTTCCAACGCAAAAACAAAAGAAGCACACCAATATTCAACACGTCCTTAAAATCCCTCCTCTCAATCGCCTCCCTCAGATCCTCCTGCAGCCTCGCATTCTGGCACAACACCTGCATCGCCATTTCCACGCGTGCGTAACTCTGATCCAAGAGATCCGGGCATGCCGTTATGATAGCTGCAAGCAGGACGGTGGTGGCATAGATAGAGCACATGGGCTCGAAGTGGCAGGCTTTGGTGTTTTTGACCACATCAAGCTCGAGGAGGCGTGTGTTGATGGATTGTAGGGTGTTTTCGCTCAGCTCGAGTTTGATGCGGGGGAGAGTGGGCTGATTGCGAAGTTCGTGAGTTGACATTGTAGTGGTAAAGTTGTTGCCCCTATCTTTGGTGTGCGACTACCCCTGTGTGAAAGTCTTATGATCGTTATTGCTTGCAACCGGCACGGATCCTTCAAACGATGGTCTCATCTGTGATAAATTAGTTAGTAATACCAAGTACGAGTACATCGCGTATAGAAGATGCTTAGATATCAAGCCAGGAACCAGCAGGCGCGTAACCGAACAAACGAGCGAGTTCATATCAAGTCCATGGATATAGAAAGGACCAAAGGAATAAGAAAAAGGTGTACCACTTCATCCATCGTCCACCACCATTCCATCCCTACTTGGTGTGGTATTGTCGGGACTCTGCCTCTCCCATATGCGATCGGGTTTCCGTCGTCCCTGTTCTCCTTCGTTTAAGTCTTTCGGCACAATACGCGGCGCGTCGCATACGGTTTCTCCGTCGAGCTGGAGCTCGCTCAACGACGTTCGAGCGCTCACCTCGCCTAGCCGGAGGCCCATTCCAAGGGCATCCGAATAAGCAGCGGGCGTTACTGGTACAGAAGAACTAGCCACGGGCGTGGAAGGTATAGAAGAGAATGGCGTCGAGGGAGTGGATGAAAGGCCCGGAATAGAATTCTGCCTTCGGTGTTGTGTGAATGATGATGAAGTAGGATCAAAGGGCTCTGGATCATCGCGAGACTGCTGGCGCTGTAAGCCGACAACGCGCAGGCGCTCAACCCAACTGAATAAACCTTCAGTTTACACGGAGAATATGAAAAAGAGCGTGACGTACGCATCAGCACGGTCGAGGCTGTCCTTCACAACACCAGTAACCCCACGCATCATGTCCAGACTTTCTGTGGCGAGCGCCAACACATGCTGCGCAGCCTGGGTGGCGGCACCGGTGGTTGGCCGTTGGCTCATCCCAAAGCCTGCGCGTGCGGAAGCCAAAGGTGATGATGCACGAGATGATACAGGTGTACCTGCTCGGGAGCGATCGGGGCCACCAGCCTTGCGTTCTTTGTGCCTAGTAGTCCGTCCACGTCTCCCAGATCCAGCGCCGCCAGTAGCGGCGCCAACGGCGGAGCAAGCACCCGGTGCCCCGTCCGCCATACCGGGAGCTGGATTAATGCTTGCACTTGCCCAGCGCTGAGGTAGATGTAAAATAAAGCTCCTGACACGTGACCGTGCAGGCTCTGGGAGTGCACTGCCGGCATACTTGCTTACGACATCGACCACTTGACGGATGGTTTGCACGACATCACGACGGACGTCGGTCAACGTCCGCATGTGCGTGGGTGAGATAAGGGAATCGGTGCCGGATGAAGTGCCGGATGGTTGTAGGGATGTGATAAAATCTCTGAGAATGAGGATCTGGGCATCGATATGCAATGTGGCGTACTGGTGGGGAAATCACATGCGTATGAAATCTGAAGGAAGGACAAAGGACAAACCTGGAGCCATTGAAGACAGTATTTGAGACGCCGCATACTTTCTTCGCTTACAGCAGCACTGATCCCTCCTGCTTCTAGGAGGACAGCTTGCCAGCGGCTCCTTTGGACGACTGCTTGCTGACCTTGAAATTCAGGAGGTTCGGTAATTTGATTTGGTGAAACTGGACTTTTGTTGTCGTTTGGAGTAGGAGGATGGGAGGATGGACTACTGGCTGTAGTGACGCATGAGACAATGCGATAAAGAAATGATATAGTGCATTTACATGATTGTGGATCCGTGCCTTCGTGTGCGAGTCGAGAACTGAAATAATCCAGACTAGTCTGCCCTTCCCTGATTATTTTCTCTTGGGATGTTTCATCAACTTGCATTCGTTCAAGGTCAGCGCCCGATGGGCGATGGTATCTGCCAAGCTGCGGGATTAATCCGGATAAGCTGATGTCAAGTACAGAAGAGATTGTACTGACCTTGTCAAGTTGTCTGCAGGCAAACTCGTCCAGTTGATTGACGTCAACCGGTAGTCTGTCAATTACAGGGCGGGATATGGTTTTTACTGATGACTCCATCATCTCAGCGCCATACTAAACATATTGGGGTCAATAATCAACGCGTTTCGGTTTCGAAAAGCTCACTTTGACAACGCGGGAACTGGCCTTGCCATGCTCATATGCCCGCAAAGCAGAGTTGAAAAGTGGAAAATTGGATACTCTGGCCACAAAGTCTGGAGAGGTTATATCTGCGGGTAGCGAAGGAGATGAAGCGTATAGCGCGCTTGATGCTGATGCAGGAATGTGGGCTCGTGTGCCATCTATATCATCGTCGTTGAATGCTTGAAATCTACTCACTATTGCTTCCTGAAGCTCTGGCACCATTCCTCATATCGCCTAGCGCGCTTACGGCTATGCGTACACTCTCGTCTTCATCTTCGAACGATATATGTCTGCTCACAGTTTGAGACGGCGGGGAAGACTTCTCGCACATCGTCGAGGACGACATCGACGATGCAATATTGAAAGGCGAAAGACGATTGCACGTGCAGCCCAACATTAATTGCATTGGGGAGCACACTTTCACGTGTTATTTACTTAATCATATGACCAAATACTGCCGCGGCTTGTCGACGTTAGTTTAGCGAACTTGGTGCAACTCTTAAAAAACACATGCCCCTCAAGAGATAGCGAATATTGCTGGTCAACTTTTCTCATAGACTACTAGGTCATCGCTACCAGATAGCTAGTAGAGAGGTATCACACGTGCGGCTTTTACAGGGGGTTTACATTCAATGTTCGTAAAACATTCAGTATAAGACTGCGAACCCTTGACCAAGTCAGCCTCTTGGTCGTTTCTCATATGTTTCCGTGGACGCTACTTACAGCTGACATTTAAGTTCCGGATTCCAAGAGTTTTTGCAAGAGTCCATGACAAATTCGGTATGCACCCCAAAGTTCTCCGTGTCTCACTTTAGACCAACCTCAGATCAACTCAATTGATTTAGATCTCAGCGGCACTGTAAGTCAATGAATGACTCCAGTGTATGTCAGCCGCCGCCATTCAATTATTTCAAACTGGTAGGCGACGACGATGGACCTCCACTTAATTGATTCCCAGACCATACATATACTCGTCTCCAGTTCCTCGACTGGTACCAATACCCTTGTCTGCGCTTTATATCTCATTGTGCAGCACGACTCCCATCATGGCTGATTTTGCCGGGATGTTTCACGAAGATATCTCTGGTCCTGACGGCTCTGAGTTATGGATGGATTCTCCATTTGCGTCTTATCCCCCTGACCTTCCTGCGGGTTACTCTACCATGTATGACGCTAATGGACTCGAATACCAGTCGGATTTCAACACTGTGTCACCAAGCCTCGACAGCAGTTCCGCAGGCTCCCCCTCATCTGACTGCTTCGAACTTCAGCCCCCAACCCACGAACAGGAGCACGTATACGGAGATGATGCCTCTCCACACTGGTTCGGTAACGGTAGACTTGGGGGAGGGCTGTTTGATGCGCTGGGTATCATGCACCCCGATCAGCAGTTCCTCATGGAGCAACCACCTCTTCGCACCGTTCATATGTCAGATGTTATCGTCCCACCCATGATGTCTCAGCACTCCCAGCTTCACTCTCAGCCTCACTCGGACCATCTGCCTCCTATGCCCTCTCCTCCCGCCGCTCGTGCTACCCACAGGCATTTCCATTGGGATCACCCATCTGAAGAAGAGTCTGGAGCCGAAAGTGATGGAGATTCATATTACCCATCTGACGCATCTGGCTCGCCCTTACACCGCCATTCAGTTGGTCCAGCTTCCCCCCTGTTCCCCGGCACGTTGCCGCCGCCGCCCCGTCGTCGTAGGCGCCAAGACATCAGCCTGCCAATCCCCGTTCCCAACCTGACAAAGAAGTCCCGCGGACGCAAGGTCCCAGTCTCTTCAGGGGAACCCGTATACGCGCGCAGCAAAGACAAGTCAAAGAAGGGTACCAGGACATATACCTGCCACGTTGACGGCTGCAGTAAGTGTTTTGTCAGAAGCGAGCACCTCAAAAGGCACATCCGGTCCATTCACACGAACGATAAACGTGAGGAAGACTTTCTACATTTCCTGCATGCTGGAGTGACTGACTTGATTGACATAGCGTGGGTGTGCCCGGTTGGGGGATGCGAAAGGGAGTTCAGCCGCCGTGACAACCTGAACCAGCATATGCGCATTCACAAGAGTCCTTAAGATGATCACTTCCTCTCATTACGTTCTGATGTACGATAGGCTACGCAAAGCATGGACTCGCCCACTCGGCATTTCATTGAATTTCATCCCATTCCTTGTATCTTAGGCCACGACTTCATATTTGCTTTTCATGATCCACGATGGTCACGATTCCCGCCTTCTTGTTGTTGACTGTAACCCGTATTTTTATTGTTATCTATATCACGATGTAGACGGAAAGCAATCAAATTCGTGAAGAAGAGCTTGCCGCCGTAAGCAGACCGCCCATTTATCGGTGGAATACCGTGCCACGTTTTCACGAACGACTAAATGTTACATGGGGAAGGTTAAACTGACGAGAATCACACATTGCCCGCAGTACTCAAGTGAGTTGTGCTTCTGGGCTTGTATGGGTCGAGGCGACTCAACGCATAAATTCTGAATGAATGCGACGTCCCAAAAAACTATCGCGAGATGAGACTCAATATACGAACTTCATTCATATATCATATGGGTCATCAAGGCTTTCCTGCAGCACAACAAAGTAGTAGATGTCGCTGTTGAAAGCCTAGGTAGAATCATAGTTGGCGTTGGCCAACATCAACTGTGACTCGGACCCGCAACAAGTTGTCTATGTGGATGTCATGGGGAAAGACAATCTTCAAGCTTCAAGGCCGTCACCTCTAGATAGAAACCGTCTTTCTGCGCAACTTGAAATCACAGCATGTGCACAACGACCGAAAGACATCATCTGTACATGCTACAGAGCTGCCCACTGAACATTGAACATTGAACATTGAAAACGAACATATTCCAGATTGTTAGAAATTCTGCAACTTCACCGTGATCTCAACTGGATCCAATGTGTACACGACCTTGTCCTGGAACGTCTTGCACCCGCGGCTCCTTGCTTCCCCACTTATGTATGCGATAACATGGCCAAACTGGAGTACTTCAAGTTCGCGATCGTTTCGGAGATGGGCTCCGTTTGGAGGGGCGCTTGTATTAGAGGGGCAACGGAAATGGTGAGCAGGCGGCATCACCTTCTTTGCCAACATCGAGCTCCCCAAGCTTTACCATATCACTTGACAAATCGTACTGCCTTCCATTACTTCACATCATTTTGGGTCGACGTTCGACATTTCCTCTATGTCGAGCTCCTCCAGCACTATTTCTCAATTGAGTATAACAGTGAAGGGCCTACCAGAAAAAAAGCTGGCCCAGAATTCAGGCTACTCATGTTCTTGTTTCACGCTTTCGAAAGCCCTGGTGCCGGAGCCATAGGTATAGCATGGAAAAACAATTGAGGCCCTTGGATGTGATGGGTGCGGTTCTAAACGGTCGGAAGGAACCAGCATCATCCTTACATTGCAGACTGAGACATATAATATGATAAGTTATTAACAAACAACTTGCCTGTCCACAGGTCCCAAATATATATATGGTAATTCACTAGGCGGAGGGCTTCCACTCCGCAAGCCACTCCTTCATGTACATTAATGCTGCGTCCTGCACGGCGGCGATTGACGGGTCATCAAAGCCAATTAGCGTGAACATGTCTGACGCGTGGAATCCATCGCCCTCATAGATCGGCATGCTGGTAGTGTTAGCCTTGTTCAGCCCATCAGCAGACACAGTTGCCTCGCGCCAAGGGTCACGTAGGCCGTTGGCAAAGAAGAGACGTGGAATATCCACGTCCCAACCATCGTACATTCTGTTGGTCTTTGCTATGGTAGGCTCAGGTGGAGAGGCGAAGGCTTGAGGGAACATATTGACGCATTGGCGCTGACGATTATGTTGATAAAAGTCATATTTTGAATGTAATATACGTACCTCGTCGTAAATGGGTTGGAGGATGTGGCTCACGATCGCAGGCTGGCCTTCAGGAGGGCCAACTTGGTAGAATCCGATTTGGTTGCACCTGGAAAGGTTTGTCAGATTAGATATTGATTTGAAAGAGAATACATACACCATCCAGGTCCACGACCTGTCGGCGTTATCCACGGTAACATTAGTCCAGTAGGACTGGCTCGTGTTATACGTCCCAATACAGGTCCTAACGTCGCCATCAGCCAATACGTACAGCACTACATTTTAGGGATACGCACTCGGCATCCCGGTCGTTACAGACTTCACCATCCAGTTTAGCCATGCCAATCGAAAATCAAACGAGCTGCTTACCATGGTTGTAGTATGTGGTATTCCAAAATTTACCCCAAGAATAGATGGCGTTTTCAAGTCCCCATCCTTCAGGTCCGGCATTGACACCATCCTTGACCTCGAGTGCATCACAGAAATCGAAGAACAGTGTTCCTGGGTCGGCATGAGGCTGTAGAGCTTGCCATTCAAACAGGTTGTATTGAACTGTTGGTCAGAGCAGAGTCAGTTAAGAGCAGCTGATCAATAGGATCGTCAGAAGAGACATCCAATGTAAGAATTTGGGAAAGGAGAAACTCGTAACCAAAACGGGGAACATAACTTGAATAAAATTATCGTGCGTTGAACACAAGATGAACTAAATTAGATGTTGCGCGAATCAGAACGCGTGTGGACCATGCTATCGGTTTCACAGAAAGATGAAGACTGAAGAAGGGACAAGGACGACTCACGTGCATAGGCGAAATCGTCTACGTGTACAAGACCGCCAAGACCAAATGCTTCTTTGAGCGTCTGTATTCCAGCGGTGTCATTCACCACGTACATCCGATCCAGGTGTGCAATCACTGCCTCTACATCGGAAGAACAATTTCGTGGCATATAATCGCGAATCGGGGTAAAATAGGCATAATAGTCACTGTTTTTGTCGAGAAGAGACCGAATGACCACGTTGAATGCGGAGCGAATGATGTTTCAAGGAAGGAGAAGCGTTTCGTCACGTCAATGGGAGATGGGCGGTGACGGCAATAAAACTGACATACGTGATTGTCTCCACGACGGCAGAAGATGCATATCCAGCCCAGAAAATTCCCGGTTTGCTTTGAGTCGATCACCATGCTGAAACAACAATATCCAATATTGATACTCACTTGACCATCGTCCAACTGGTGAGGGCTCCTGAGTAGCTTCCTCCCACCAGTACCCATGGAGCCTGACCTGGCTTCACAGCATCACCCCCAGGCATCGGAAGGTCGGCCGTGGTGGCGAAATACACGAGATCATCAATGGCCTGCTGGATGGTGAGGAGAGCGAGAGATTGCGACGTGAGGTTGTCGTATGGATTGGACTCGCCAAAGAAACGATGTTCGATGATAACGACTGCACCTTTTTGTTGTTGAGCAATGAGGCCATTGATGGTGTAATTGGTGACAAAGCTTTGGTAACCTGAAAACAAAGTACTTGATATAAAGTCGCAAATAAAGGATAGTGAACTAACCAGACGATGCATCATCTTCTCCAGGCGTCATCAAGATAATGGGACCACCTTCGATGCATCATGTTGACATCCCATGAAGCGCACCTCAATCATCGGGACATACCAGGCTCATAAAACTCCCAGTTCATCCAGTATCGCTGCTGGAAGGTTCCGAGGCCTGGATCATTGTGGTCGATGAGCTGGTCGAAATAATAGATGGTCTTAATGTCTGGGAGTGCTGTGCCATTCGGCGAAGTGACGAGACGTTCTGGCGCTGAGAATTTTGGAAGAGAAGGCCTGCCACGGAGCATTGCATTAGGGATAGCCGCTCGGGCGACACCTGCAAGTAGGAGCAACATAATAGCCCGCATCATGTCGAGCTTTGATCGCAAGGATGGGACTTACACAATATGATCATGGTGGATGAAAGACTTTATATGTAGCCATAGCATCGAGATGAAGTCGCTGATACATGTACTACTCGCTTGGTATGAGAATTAATGGGACGAAGCTGCAGGGTCACGATTCGGGTTGCTTAACGGCGTAATGTGCCCGGCTTGAATTTAGTGAAAGAATCGTTACGTAGTATGGATTTACCGCTGGCATTTGCTCAGCGGTCGCATTCAAAGTTGCAGCTCGCATGGCTGGATACATAGTTGTCAATTTTGGCAATATAATGGTGCCTGCTGATGGAAATTTGGAAGCTTGCCGCTTGAATGAGGAAATGCCAGCGTGCCCTGCGACTTGGATGAGGTCTTCGTCAATGTTTTGATAAGTTTAACTGTCTGCTCACTTCGGTTGGCTGACGGAGTGGTAGTCGTGCTTCTGGATGTCTTAATTACACGTTTTATGACCTTGGTAACTCCGTATAATACTATCACTGGCAGGTTCTAGGGAACATGCGCCTAAGTATGATGACGAAGAGGACGGGACAGCCTACAAACGAGGAGAAGAAGAAGCGCGAGTAGAAGAGGGCGACCAAAAGATGTAAAGCGACGGTGTTGACAAAGCCTCACCTCACCAGACATATTTTGAGTGCTTTGCGGCATGGTCGTCGTCGACGGCAGGGAGGTTGACTACGTGTGTCCTGGAGTAAGTGGGCCTTCCAGGAGCATGTGTTTATGTAATTAGGCCCCGCTCGGCAACTAATTTACACACTTCATAATAAACTCGTGACCAGCCTGGCGTATACCTATACCACGGATGCCCCATCAAAAATCTCACCATCTCAATTTGACGCATAGTCAGACTGGTTACGAGTCTACACGCTTCATGCAAGTGCCAGATAGTCGTTCCTCTAGACTTCCTGCATGAAAGACCCCGAATCCACACGTCAAGGTGTTAACAATGGGTTAATTTGACCTCGCGAAAGGTGACTGCAAATCAGTAGTGTTGATTTTCCCGGGTCCAAATTCACCATAAGCTACTATGATACTTCCGAGTCCTCGACGATGCCCTGAAAAGGTTTTTATTTAATGCGAGTCAGTCATACTCTTACCCGTAGTTCCAGGTGCACAGGGGGCGGACGGCTGGTTAGTCTTGTGGCACCCGACCAGGACATTAGATCGCATGTGTAGAATCAACCTACCCACACCAGCCAGGCCCATGATCGAGCCGTATCATCCACGAACCACGCAGGATTTTACAGGGATAGTAAATGTTATCTAGCAATGAATTTCAAGAACACGGATTTATGATCGGGCTTGCCCACACACACTTACATCCGCTGTCCGCCCGCTGTGTAAAATATTCATCAGTTGGTTCATCCTTATTAACGTGTGTCAATTGTCACTCATCATGAGTTGCATACGTGGTACTTCGCGAATGACCGCGAATTGATTTATGAAGTTGTTGGTCGGCCATTGGATGGTGTCTTCCGGCCCACGGTAATCGCGTCAGAGTATTTGTGGGCGAATGATGCGTTAATATACCATGGGGCGCTGTTGCGCAGGTCCAGTTTTAGCTACCATGACGGTGTCAAGGATGTTCCCTGCTCCCGCTTGGTATCTATCATTCATTCCGAGCCCGGTACTTTTCTCGAAAACCCACAATACTGAAAGGAGATCGACATATATTCAGCTGTGGGATGCACAGAACTTGTCGCATGTAGTAGAATTTGATGACAGTTGTTGCAATACTGCTACCAGTAGATATGGAGGTCGGGTCAGATGAGAATGGCCAAAACTACTTGAGGCACCAGGAGCAAGGCGTAGCGACTAAGTCGAGGGTCGAGCAAAGGCGGGAAGTATGGGATCACGAAAAAGAAGCGCTGCATATCATAAATGCGCCGGAGAAGGTGAATAATTTCGCAGTGCTAGTGGTAGAACGCTACATCGTGATAAAACACCGACCTGTATATCGTGGGCTTCAACATTTCGAACCTTGCAAAATGTCAATCAAAAGCGGATCGAGAATTCCACAGCGCTCAAGATTCTGTTCAACATATTCTAGAGGCTGAAATGGTCTTCACGGTGTGTTACTTAGATGAGAGCCACCCAAGCTCGATCCACTGTCCACAAACACAGGTCATGATTATTTCAGAGGCCCATAACATGGCGCCACCCCACCTATATAGTTTATGAAACTATTCCCGTAAAACAGACATCGCTGAACACATGCGAGAAGTCATTTACCAGACGCGCTGCTGTAGCACGTGTACATGAGACGGTTGCGACACTGATGTTGAATCACTACCGGGAAGCGATGGCGGCATCAATTCGACTTTGGGTAGGACGGTACATCAGGAAAGGGCAACGATGTGAGTTGAACCCATGTGTAGTGGTGCGGGAAGTTACTTCGTCGAGAAAGACACCCATGATAACGGGGAACGTCATAGAACAGCCTCACGGGTGTCTAATGCAACATGAGGTAGTTTGAAGCTGTGAATGAGGATCCGAGTCCTCGCACCTCTGCGGTTTAGAGCAAGACGCCCATAGTCTCCACAACAAGCCCACTTGGACCGTTTTAAATACCGTCGGGGTCTACCGGAGTGGCGGATGACGCAGTGCAGCCCATCTTTCCGATGACCACACGTTTGAAGGTCATAACCGCAGTCGCAGTCTTCCTAGATGGGCCCCGCTTGATCACAGGGTTGTATGACAAGACGGTTTGTCTGTGGGACTTGCAGAGCGACATTGTGGTGAAGTTGATGAAGCGGCGGCGGAGTGGGGGGTATCAGGAGACAAGGAATCGATAGCAAGTAGTGACCTCATCGAAGAGCTTAGCACCTGGAATGGAAACAGTGGCCTAACGGCTGCCGCGAGAGCTCGCAAAGTTGGTGGAATGTGATTATCGTATTGCACCAGTGCAGAATTCCGATGAGGCAGAATTTGGGAGAGGGTAGCAGATGAGAAAGACAGAAACTAGTTCCAAAAGTTAGCGAAACTGAGGACAGGATTGAGGGACAAACTGAGCGCGGAAGAAAGGTGCGACACCCTCGAAAAATATCTCCACAAAGCCCGCCACAAAAAGCGTCTTGGAAGGCGGAAACTCCGTAGAGTTCTTCGTAATAGAACTAGTGGCGGTTTGGGACGCGAGAAGCGAGATTTTCAGCTACAATGTGCATCTGATGCGCACGCACCTTGGGAGTCGAAGGGATGATTGGTGTGATACTACCCTGAGCTACATGGATCCCAGTTGCGTGAGACGTGTGTAACGACGTACGCGCGAAGTGATTGTTCGCGATGCACTAGACCAACAGTTCCACATGATAAACAGTCCATGATTCACGTAGCTTCGCAGAACAGATAGCGATCGTAACATTCGACGGGCCTTGAGCACTAGCAGCCAGATTTTGGGGGACCGGCTGTACTGTATACCAATTCGAGACGAGGTCATGCATTTTCAAAGCTGTAGAGATACAAGTTGGAGCCATGGGCAGAGGCGCAGGGTTCTTGAGGAAGGCGCAGATGATAACAGGAAGCATTCTTGCTGCAACCTTAATGGAAGTGTGGGGGCGAACAGCCTCCTATAGTAATGTCTTGGGCGTCTATTAAAACACGAGGCAGGTTAATGTGGTGAAATAGAGTATTCTCTATGGCTTAGAGCAAGACACTCACCATCCTTCCACCCAAGCTCACCTTGACCGTCCAACACAATCAACCCCCAATAAAATGTCGCAGCTCATTACAAGCACCACATCTGATCGAGAGTTTAAAGATCATGAGAGCACCATTACCGCATTCATGGTTTTCCCCGATAGACGACGTATGGTCACGGGCTCGGAAGACAAGACGCTTCGTCTATGGGATTTGAAGACAGGTGTTGTGTTGAAGAAGATGGAGGGGCATCGGAACAGGGTGCATGTGTTGGCAGTATCACCAGATGGGAAAATGATAGCAAGCGGTAGTTGGAAAGAGGTCATCGCCTGGCACGGAGAAACTGGGGAATCTCTGGCCCAACTTGAAGCTTCCGAAACCCACTCCGAACCAGTCACCTGGCTAGAATTTTCTCCTGATGGTACGGTGCTGGTCAGCAGTGCTTCATACTCCAGTACGACGCTGTGCAGTAGTACGACGCTGTGGAGTACGACGACATGGCAACCACAAGGAAACCCAATCGATTTCGATATAATGCTCGACGTCTTCTGCGTTCGGTATTCGCCGTCTGGCGAACTTCTCGCCACTGCGGGTTTCAATGATATCGTAATTTATAATTCAAGCACAAGGGAACGCGTCGCTCACTTCAAGATGGGTTCACAATCCAATCCCTGTTCCACTTCCCTACACGATGGCTCACTCGTGTGGACGCCTGATGGAACTCGCCTTCTCTCAGCGGGTGATGATCACAACTCCATAATGGAGTGGGATGCATCGACCTGGAAGCAAGTCGGTAATCCCTGGATGGGCCATACTTGCAAGGTCAACAACATTGTCATTAATCCTGCTGGCACACTCGTCGCATCCGCCGCATTTGCTGACATGCAAGTCCGCCTCTGGCTGCTCTCAGATCGACAAACCATTGCCATCTTCCAGCACGAATCATGCTTTGCGCAATGTCTCGCGTTTTCCATGTACGGCAAGCGCATCATGATTCTCAGCAGGAGTTTGAAATTGGGTCACAGTACGATGATATCAGAGTGGGCTGTACCAAAGGACATCGATTTAGAGGCATGTTTCCATATTAAACTCTCAGTAATACCGCAATTCGAGCTCGCTCCATGCCTCAGATCCTCAGCATCGGCACGACCGTCCGCAGGGCATGCACCACAGGAGACTTGTCTACTGCTGAACAGCTACTCACGCAACAAATAAACGCCGATCCTGATGATGACATCTCATATGCCAACCGCTCATTTGTTATGGCACGTAAACACCAATGGGACCAAGCGCTTCAGGATGCAATCAAGGTGAGATATACTAACCCATCATGAATCCCTTACTAACTTTTATCATGACATAGTCTCTCTGCATTCGGCCTTCCTTGACAGGCTATATTTCCAAGGGGATCGCCCTCAGCGGAAAAGGCCATGTCCAGGATTCCGTTGAAGCTTTCGACCTCGCATTCACATTTGCGAACGAAGATTCAAGAATTATTCATTTCCTTCACCTAATTAAGGCACGATAACCGTTTCTTACATACTCTGTGCTTCATTACGGTTTTCAGGTTATGACTGTTTTTAATGTGGATGAACATGAAGAGGCACCTATCCGCATCCGAGAGCGAGCTGCTGCTTGTCCGAATGATGATACTCTTGCATATATGGTCGTCGAAGTGAGTATGACGTCCTTAACCCCACCTTCGTGCACTAAAACTGAAACTTCGCACATCAGGCATATCTGTATGTTCGACTTGGAAACAAGGCCACGGATGATGCGCGTTACAACGAAGCCGCCGATCACTTCACTGCAGCTGTCAACACCAGCGCTTCCTCATCTATGACCGCCATTCACTATATATACGAGGACTTGGTGGTGGTCCGTTGACGTGATTTGTTCCAGCTTGCTTTTCATGCTGAATTCCGTGCTTTTTACAGCTCTTCGGATGGAACATGAAGTCCTTGTGGATGGCTGCAAGCCAGAAACGGTGTCATGCACTCCTTCTGGCAGGTAGACTCCGAGAATCCGCCGAATCACACCGATACGTGATGGATACGAGCGACGAAACTACGAAGAACAGCTGCCTTGAATGGTCTACTGGCAAGTCTTCAGTCATAACACTCGCAGAATCATCCTCACTCGCATGTCACTCAGCTTTCAAGCAAGAATGCAGAACACTCTGTGTTACAGATGGAGATGCTGCTCGCACTGCGAGTGATTGTGACACGGCTATTGACTTATATTTGGTAGCGATCGGCCTGGACTCTGCATCCGACACTATCTTTGCAAATAGGAACAAGGTAAAGTTGGAAAAAACGCTATGGAAGGAAGCACTTCTCAATGCACAGAAGGTGCAATGGCGTCTATTGTTTCGTAATCAATGCTTATTGTGGTATAGGCGGTCGAACTCAACGATACGAGCGACAAACCTATAAACGCCGGCTGCCTTGATTGGGTCACTGGTAAGTCTTCAGTCGTGTCACCCAGAGAATCATCCTCACTCGCATGTCACTCAGCTTTCAAGCAAGAATGCAGGACAATCTGTGCTACCAACGGGGACGCTGCTCTCGCTGAGAGCGATTACGACAGGGCTATTGACCTATACTCGACTGTGATCGACATGGATCCTACATCCGATGCCCTTTTTTCAAATCGTAGTAAGGCAAAGTTGGGGAAAATGCTATGGAAGGAAGCACTTCTCGATGCGCAAAAGGTGCGACAGCGGCATCTATTGTTTCGTAACCAATGCTTATTGTGGTCGTACATAGGTCATCGAACTCAACCCTTCGTCCTATCTTGGATACGATTTGAAGCACGCAGCGCTTCATGGTGCAAAACGCTACGACGAAGCGATCCAGGCCTTCCAAACCATGCTCTCTAAATTGGGCAATGCTCATGACACTCAGACACTCAGTAAGCCCCTGATGACACATGCATCAACACACTAACTCTTTGTCCAGAGCTGCGCCAGCAGTATATCAGACCTTGTGAAGCAGAACGTGCTATTCGAGAGGTCATTGACGCTCAAATCGACACTGCCCCGCTCCGTGTACTTAACACCGCCACTGGGCTCTTATGCGATCGAGGGGCGCTGATAAGCGACTTCACGACGAGCACAGAGTACAAGGAGCTTTGGTCGTCAACAACGACTCATGCAGACCTCTCAACGAAGCGCATCGAAGAAGTAGTTGCGACATACTTCAGTTACGCAATGCTATCACATAGGTGGGGGGGAAAAGAGCCGCTGCTGCAGGACATACAGCGCAAGGTCGTGTACGACTTGGAACCAGTTGACGGAATCACGAAGTTGCAGTCATTCTGTGGAATTGCTCGTTCTGCGGGGTATCGCTGGGCGTGGAGCGACACATGCTGTATCGACCAGAATAACAATGTCGAGCTCCAACGCTCGGTCAACTCCATGTTTCTCTGGTATCGCCACTCATCTCTTACGGTCGTCTACCTGTCGGATGTTACGCCTTTGTCGCAGTCCGGCGCACTTGCAAACAGTGTTTGGAACACGCGAGGATGGACCTTTCAAGAATTCCTCGCTTCTAAAGTCATTCTCTTTTATCAGAAAGACTGGATGTTATATCTCGATGACCGCTCTCATAATCACAAGGAATGTGCTGCGATCATGCAGGAGTTGCAGGATGCAACTGGCATAGATCGACAGACTCTCGTCTCCTTCCGCCCAGGGATGAGTGGCGCCCGAGATAGACTTCAATGGGCATCGACACGCATTACTACATTGCCGGAGGATGTTGCGTACTCCTTGTTTGGCATCTTCGGCGTCCACCTACCTGTAATTTATGGCGAGAAGAAGGAAAATGCACTTGGGCGTCTCCTACAGGAGATTGTTGGTCGGTCGGGGGACATTACTGTCTTGGACTGGGTCGGACAATCATCCGAGTTTAATAGTTGTCTTCCGGCCGACATTACCTCATACGCAGCTTCGCCACGTACTATGCCATCTTTGTCGGAAGATGAGATTCAGACTGCGGTCTCCTCGCTGCGAAATGCCATGCCTATGGATGCGGCTTCGAAATTTTATGACCGGCTTGAACAGCTAAGCCCTCCTCGCTTCACAAACTGCAGACTCCATCTCCCTTGTATCACATTTCACGTCACAGAAGTCAGACGGAGGCGTGGTCCAGCCCAGGGAACTCCTTTCACATATGGAGTCAAGGCAAACGGGCTTCGCGACCTGCTGATCACCACGGAAGAGACACTAGTTCAGTTCTCGCGGGCAAAGCCTACTCGACAGACCTTCCTGCTTGTCCGCCCATGGAATCATTGTCTTCTTGAACTGCCCGACTTCTCAGAGACGGTACCTGCTATTGGAGATGATGCGGAGAGCATAGGAGATTGGTCTGAGCCCGAGTCTCCGTTGGACGACTCTGACGAGTCGCCCGACGGTTCGCCTGGAGAAGAGGAGCTGGGTGATTCGGATTCTTACTCACGGGCGTTGTGATTGATCGTTCGCCTTGGACAGCCTTTCGGCGCATTTTTGCTAGCACAGCAGCGTGGAAGAGAATACAAGAGAATCGCGTCAGATCAAGATATCATTGCACAAGCCAAAGACGTGGCTTCTGTTCACAGCATGATGGATGTCAGGACCCTAGAGGTTTTGTAGTCGTATGTTTTTCTTGAATTTTCTGAGCAGTTTTCGTTTGTAAATTGACGACGATACTCGGTGTATAGCATCATACTCCTTCATACATACCATAGTTTCCTTAAAAACAAGCACCACTTCTCTGTCCCGCACTATTAATGCCCCTTCATCCTTCTCCACGCCTAAGTACCTGCGTGGATTCTCCGGTTTACGCTCTAAAACAAGAATGTGCAACTCCTCGCAACTCCTGATGTTTGTTGACGTGCAGAAATCCCTTGATTATTCTACTTATTCGCAATAGCGTCATGTCCATGGGCAACTTCAGATACTCGTATCTTATCAAGTTTCAACCGGAAATATTTAGCGAACACAAGCCTCCATTAAATTCTATAGACTTCAGAGGGAGTTTGTGCATATTTGGCAAGAGCCTTTGAGTTCAATAAGCACAAACACCACGTTGAGCTTCAACATTCAGTTAAATGCCAATTCAACGCTGCTTTCAACAAGTTTGTGTCCTTCACCCAACTCAACCAATATGTCTACAGCACATACCTTCCAGTCCCCCTCCGTCACACTCGAAAAAGGCGCGTACCGCATGCGCGCACCACACAGTACCCGTCCAGGTTCTTCCCTCAGCCAAAGCATAATGAGCGCGAAACAGCCTCCACTTCAGTCGTTGCACTCGCAAAACAGAAAGCTCGCAGTCCTCGTAGGCATACTGGCTTTCGCGTCAATCACGTGCTTTTTCATCGCGTATTACCTATTCACCACGAGGTTCGCAACCTCGTCCCCACTCCCGCTCCGTGCTGACGACGTCCCCAAAGCAAACATGTCCCTGCCAACCGCTCATGATGCGCAGAGCAAGTACCTGTCGTACTTCCCACATAGCGGTCTGCATAACCAACGCATAGCACTCGAAAACGCGCTCGTACTCGCTAAACTCCTTAATCGTACACTTCTTGTTCCTTTCCTCCGGCTCGGAAAGCCCATTCGCTATGTTTCATTTGAAAAGCTCAAACGTTTTCTTGCTCTCGGCTCAAAAGTTGGGCTGGAACACTGCCCTCTCGTCCCTGCAGGTGTTGTTACTCCCGACGAATGTGAAGGATACGATGAGTGGACGCAGGTTCCGTGGCAGTGGGTTATTGATCTGCACGCGGTAGGGGAGGCAATCGGAGTAGAGATGGTGCAGTGGGACGGGAGCGCTGAGTGGATGACAAAGTTGAATATCTTTGACGCAGATACGTTGACGCTACACGACACTGGGCCGTACGATTTCCGGTTCTTGGACACCCTTGATGATGTATCACCCACGCGGGACAAATATCAATATTCCAT